GGCACGTTTCTACGTCTGTGCAAGTGGCTTTTTTCTGTTGGCTTCAAGGGGCTTGGAGAGAGTAATTGACTCTCGTAAGCTCGAGACTTTGGGAAAGTACACACCCTCCAAAGAGAGAGAGGTCAAGACGTCTCAGATCTTTTTCCTTTTGAGCCGTGGAGGATTGTGGTGTGATTGATTTAGATTTCAGGGTCCTTCGAAGTTCGGTTCACTCAACAGAGGTACGGAGGCACGGGAGAATGAAAGGAGTGAGTGTCACGGCCTCTTGATGCTGAAGGACGAAAAAAGTGAAGCACGAGACGCCCATCCTCCATCCTGCTAGGTACTGTTCATTCGCGAAATGGGGATTTCGCAATGATACTCCCTTGCCAAACGTTTCGCATGAACGTTTCTGAAATGTCGTTCCCGAGGGGAAGAAAAAGAGAAGAACAAAAAAGCTTGCCAAGACGAGAGCGAACCGTTTGGGCTTCTCTCGACAGAAAGACGGCCCAATCGTCATTAGGCATCGAGTCACCTGGTCACGGGGGTTTCGAGGCATGGGCAATGACACATGCCTCGCCTTCGTCTGATCTCGTCTACCTTTCTTTCCTCGTCTCGGTTGTTTCCAGAATGTTCAAAGGGAAAAACCTCGACTACATGGTTGCTGGGGGAAGGGCAGAAAGCCTTTCAACTTTGTGTGCCGTCACTGCCGTCGGTGGTTGTCGAAAATGCCATGAGGCTCAACTGGTGTTGAATCCTCGTCCCTGGCGCATATACACACCACCATCTCTCCTCGGTTCTCGGCGCCCGGAAGCTCGGTCATAATGATGGCGAGTCACGAATGGTGAGAAGCGTGACCGGTTGGTTGTTGCCATCTTCCCGTGCCTTGTGAACCCTGAGGCGAGGTTTCATGAGCCGCGGATCTTTACTTCCTCCACGGGTTTCGGGGAGGGATATCTCCCATGGCCCCCATGGTAATGAGGAAACGGAGACGGGAGCGCCATCGGCCGAGGGAGCGTTCGCCTCGTTCGCCTTGCTCCGATGACGGCTTCCCCGGTTTCAAGGCTCAGCATGAGTGTGTGTGTGGCTGGCGTCTCTCGAGACTGTAGATCGCTGTCCATCTTCTTTTGTCCTTTTCAGGTGTCCCTTTCTGTGTCGATCATTGCGGCTTGGGAGGATGTTTCGTTTCAAAGGAGGCGGATGCTGTCGCCAAGTGGCACCGCCAAGCACCCAAGGTATATCTTTCCTATGTCGGAGAATTTTGGTACATTCGTACATTCTTTGTAGATTCGCCATCTTTGACGGGCATGGTATTTTGGTCAAAAGTCTATCCAAGTTACGTAGAGTAAAGATCCTCGGCGACGCGGTGATCATTGATCCCATTTGGACAGCGTCGGAACGTGGCGGTTACCGGGTGTGGTTTGATGGCCGTGATGGCATAAGTCGAAACGGTTTGTATGTGGAAGTGATTGACGGTACGATTTGCTTGGTGATCGACGGTCACGAGTGAGTGCAGCAGGACCATGTCAATCTTGTTACCTTGCATGAGGCTAAGCGACGTATGCCAGCCATTGTCCCTCGCGAGGGGATAGGAACGTGAAGAGGTCGACAGCCAAGTTCAATTATTGATGTTGATCCGGGACTTGTCGAGTCAGTTGCCTGCTTGGAGTATCCTTTCGCGTGGCATGTCGTGTATCGTCAGATATCGGGTTGTTACGTGGAGGTCGTATGTCATATTTTGCTGCTTACCTATGAGCGAGGCAGGTCAGTACAGAGTCAATCATGAGGTTGGACATGTGAGTCTGTGTAGGTAAGCTGACTGGCCGAGTGAAATGTGACGAGACGTGATTGACATGTGGTCTGGAGGTTATGATCTCCTCTGCTTACGTGTTGATGGGCCTGCAGAGCGAAGACGTTCCATCGACTGTGATGCCAGGGTCATGGACAACAATATTAGCCAGTTGCTCATTCCAAGTAGTCTATCAGCCAGAGCCCCTTTGCCAGAGATTCTCTCCCACGTTGGCAGAGTGCGCCGGAACCGTTGCCCGCATGATGTAAAGTGAATTTAGTCGTCTAAGAGTGGGACGAAGACAGCACTCCACGCGGAGACGGCTGCCATCTAGCTATATCCATGGCTACGAGACTTTCTAGATAGCTGGCATAGAGGTTTGCATGCTGTTGACGGGGATTTGGCGAGTGCGCATGAAGTTCTCCTGCCATGGTACAAGACGCCCTGAAGCAGGATTTGCTGATTATCTCAGTTCATGTACCGGATTTTTGCCTTAGTTCGCTTCTTGTATCGTGCTGATGACTACATATAGTTAGATGTAAAGTAGACGGCATTGGTTATAAGATTTGCGGTGTTCGTTGCGCTGGAAAAACGACTTGGTGTAACTCACATGGCCTTGCGAATCGTCAAGGGACGGTCACAGACGAGGGACATCTGGCTGGCCTGCAACAGGGCCCTTGGGATCTTGAACTTGGCAACTCAGTAGTAACTATCTCTGTTCAAGGAATGAGGCACTGTGACTGACGTATGCGTGATAAAGATCTTCAATCCTTCGGCTGGCTTAGACGTCAGTCTTGTTGTTCGCTTGAGGTCTGGGGGGTTGGCACTGCTCAACTTGTGGAAGCTGCTCTTGATGGCCCAGTGTCGAGATCTTAGGTTCATTCTTTATATTATTCGCGGAACATGTGAATACAAGTTGAGGAGCGTGCCGAAAAGGATCTACGAAGGACTACGTCTCGTGGATCAAGGGAAATGTTCACACGATGTTGTTAGCGAGCAGGCTGTGTATGGCAGTCAATAGTGCCACTTCGTGACTTACTTCACGTCAAAACAGCCTTGCGCAGAATTCTGAAGCATACTGAGCACTAAGTAATCACTGTATTTGGCGGAACCCTCTGGAAATCAATCGCCAGTTCGACACCTCACGTAAAGATGCGCAGGAACGATCTGGAGCTACCTTAAGGTAACCCAACGTGATAATGACTGGAAACTAAGTTGGATAGACCGCTAAGTTGGCGAAGTCTAGGTGAACCACAGCCTTCATAAATTATCAGATCACGTTAGACTGGCATTTGTTGACAGGAGAGCACCTTCACCTGTGAGGCTATGTCATGATAGTATTGCGACAGATATAGGGGCTATCCGCGAGTTGGATCACCGCTTCTATGACGATTATACAATGCAGACGAGGAGCATGTAAGTGACTGAGTAAGATGAGATTTCTTCGAGAAGTCATAATGGGAGGGTTCCATACATATGTTTGTGCCAAACGTGCCAATGACGGACGACCTTCGCCAATTCCTTTGAAGCCAATCATCGCTAACTTCAACATTCAGTTTTGCAAGACCCGTTGGGTTCCAATACACAGTTTTCATTGAAAGAAGCTCAGAAGAAGTTGCAGGAAATTACTCATATTATTATTCAAATCAACGAAGCCAGACCAACCTGTCTCTGTCTACGTGATTCCTGTGAGAGCAGCACTTTCGATCTATGGCACAGGTGGCCGCAAGCCATAGCTAGGTTCGGCCATAAGCGCCTCTTTTCTCACAGTTCGTACGAACAGCATATCAAGTTGGAGGGATCTCGGGTATTCGCCATATTCATGCTGAAGAGTATGGTGCTTAGGGAGGATACTGGATCACGGTCGTGAGGCAGGAGGGATGAGAACTTTCCTTCATATTGCGGCTGCCTGAAGACTACTGCCTTGACACCACTCGATATGCCACATTATATGTGCCTCGAACTATTAAATGCCCCATGCTACTGTGATTGCGTAGGAGCAAATGCTTCTTTCCAGCAGGGCTGGAGCAACTCGGCCGAGACAAAGATCCGAGAACAGGTAATAGGTTCGATATTGTGAGTCACTACTTGATTTTATATACTTCCGTTGTTGCTTCTGACATTATGTAATTGAAGTAGCGGCAGGCCCGAATGCTATAAAGGAAGATATTTTCAATTTAGCAAAATGGGTGAAGATGACAAGAGAGTTCACCCCCCCGGTGCCGAACTGGGGGCTATATCTCTTGGTGCTCATGCTGGGAAATTTCTGGTGCTCAGGCTGGGAATTGAACTCGAACTCGGAGCCTGTCGTCGAGTAGGCTGTGGGCGTTTTTTATTATTTGTTGACCGTAAACCATTCCACCACCCAGCCAGTTTGACCTGACCCGTCGACCTCGACGGGCGCCTCCTGGCTGGTGGCAGGAATGGAATTGAGGGGACCTATATGGGCATCACTTGTGGCGTTTTCGTGGAGGGAAGGAGTATACGAATATCCGGGAAGTCTCTACACTGATTCCTCACATCGAACCTGGATGATGATCACCATATCACCGTGCGAGGTAGGAGGGCTTTGTGTTTACGGATATCGGTCTGCACATGCATCGCATAGACAGTGCAGCTTCATAACCAAGCTGCGAGTGCATCGAAGCATTCATTCGAGATTGCAGGTCAGCCTGGAAAATGCAATCAAATGAGAACGAGAGAAGGATCGATTCGGTATGGTAATATGTGGGCGTCGCATACTCAACGATCTTAACCATAGAGTCCAGGTTTCCAGCGCGATGAATGATATAGCCCTTACTAATACGAAATGCCAGCACGTAACGATCACTCAGGATGATTCATTTAGAGGAACACTTACGTTCCTGAATTAATAGCAAAATGAGAATGCTGGGCTACTACACACTTGCAAGTATCTTGAAGCAAGAACATGTGTTTTGATACAGGAGAAAGGCACGAAGTTGGTGAGATATCGTTAAAAAGAGGCTCAGAAGCACTTTGATGTACTATGCAGTTTTGGTACATAAAGTTGTGTCAATGCGTACTCTTTTATTCAAACAGGTTGACGGAGGTAATCGAGGCTGCTCCGTGCACTGCGGGTCATGTGCCTTGCGGCGTGACCAAAGTTTCTCCCGCTAGCCGAATCGCGAATGGACTCAGCCGAAAGATTCCTGCCTGCGACCTCACCCGAGCTGCCTCCAGCAACACATCCCCATTGCCAGCTCAGCCCATCATGAACTCCTTCCGCTTCGCGCGCGCGGCCCTCCGAGCCCGCCCTGCTGCCTTCCGCGCTCCCCTCCAGCGCAGAACCTACGCAGATGCCGTCCCGGACAAGGCAAGCAGCCCGAGCCTGCATCCTCCGAGCCGGAGGCATCCCGAGTACCCGCTGACCATTTGCAGATCAAGCTGAGCTTGTCCCTTCCTCACCAGGTACGAATTCGATAATATCCGAAACAATTGAACGAGAGACGAGACGACGATACGAGGGGGATGCAAGGCGGAAGTCAATTGAAGGATCGGAGCTAATTGCCGCAACACGCAGTCCATCTACCAGTCCCAGGATGTCGTCCAGGTCAACATCCCCGCCGACTCCGGCGAGATGGGTGTCCTCGCCAACCACGTTCCCGCCATTGAGCAGCTGAAGCCCGGTCTGGTCGAGGTTGTCGAGGAGAGCGGCCCCAGCAAGCAGTTCTTCCGTACGTTAGACCGAGATGGAGCTTTTCAAAGGGATAGGAGAAAGGCAGCAAGCTGACGATGATTGTGTCTATAGTGTCCGGCGGCTTTGCCGTTGTCCAGCCCAACTCTGTTCTCAGCATCAACGCCACCGAGGGATACCCCATTGAGGACTTCAGCGCCGAGGCTGTCAAGTCCCAGCTTGCCGAGGCCCAGAAGGTCGCCAGCGGCAGTGGAAGCGAGTTGGAGATCGCCGAGGCGAAGATTGAGGTCGAGGTGAGTTATTTTCCAAACAAAGCGCTCGAGCGGTACAGTATGGATGCTAATTGTGATTTTTAGGTTCTTGAGAGCCTCCAGGCTGCCCTGAAATAGAGAGTGTAAAAGAAGGTCGTGGCAGACACATGACGTTGTACATCAAGACCCGGATTCCCTTAACTTTATCTAACATCGCATAATTGAATCCACTTGCGACGTTTCTAGCGCTCTTTCTCTGTCAAAACCCATCATTGCGTGTGTGCCATGGATGCTACGTCATGTACCAGAAGGTCTTTCCACGGAGTGACTACATGGGTCGAGGTTGCCTACTGGGGACCTGGGGATCAGGTCGATCTTGTCTCCTATCCATTCGAGGAAGCCCCTGCCTGTCTTCCGTCTTTTGATCTCAAACTACTTATCCTGACCTCACTCGAGGCAAATTCTCTTCCCTAGGTAAATGTTCCGCATCGCCCGTCAAGGAGCATCGTTTCTCAAACCCCCACGACCCATCCATTACAGTACCAATTTGCACTTTCCACGACGTCATACAGTATTATTCAATCATTACCCATTGTTTCTCAGTATGGAGGATCCCTTCGTTGACGATTTCTCCCCGCCCCGGGCCAATGTCTTCACAGCCGAGCCCGAAGACGGTGACATCCCAGAGGGTCTCGTTTCCGCGCGACGACAGAAGTTCTCAAGACGGCCTTCTGCTCGTGCTACGAGCCGCAAGCCATCACCATTAGGTGCGAGGGAACGCGAGAGCACTTGGTCTGGTTAGGGCCAACGCACCAACAAGGTCTTCGCGAGACCAGCAACGCGCAACACTCAAACTGCAGAGTCCAGGGTGCCGTCTCAAGACCACTCATTCTTTGGACAGAGTCCAGAGCAAGCCTCCAGAAGCAACAGTCAAGCCCTCATACCTGCGTTACGTCTGCAGAAGTCAATGTACCTCACTCCTCCACGAGGTGCCGACCCAGACTCTATGCAGCTTCGCCAAACCGCTTCGACCGGTCGGCTTCGAGCAAGACCGAGCAGGACGCTCAGCCGGCCTCCAAAGATGCCAATGGCATCGATTTCGGCCTCGTCAAGCCCGCAGAAGCCACGACACTTTTCCAACAACTCCGTTTCCTCCATTCAGTCTTATGGAACAGACATGACAACCTCGACAATTCGGAAACGCCATGCTCGGGACATCTTTGCAGAATTTGGCATCTCTCGTCCGTCGGGATGGCTCTCTGACGACGAAGAAGAGGACTTTTCGCGTCACCGAGATGGAACCAACAGCATTCCCAGGCATGTTCTCAACACGTGCCATTCCTGCGGCGCAGAGGTAACTTCTCGCACATTCTGCTCCATGTGCGGCCATGCGGTGTGCCCACAATGTGCCAACGAGATACCGGACGATGGCTCGATCGACTTTGAGCATACCGGCAGTAGTCATCGAAATGCTGTAACCAGTCAACATCATATCTCGAAGGTAACAGAGGAGCACATTCGGTCATCTTCCAGCCTGGAAGCTACAGAGACATCGAAGAAGAATCAGAGGGCCCCAGCCACCTCGGTCAATCTCAATGAGAACCCCTTCATACTTGCCGACAGGATGACGAAGATCACCACGGCCGAACCACAGATCACTGACATGACGGTTGGCGCGGGACAAGCATCAAGGCTCTCAGATTGTGTTCCTAGGCAAACGGACTTGAATACTGCAGAGACACATGGAGATTACGGGAATCCAAGGTGCAATGCCACCCATGCCGGGCATCACTCTGGTCGCCACAGTATTGCATGCATTGTCGAGCAGCAAAGTTCAGTAAGCATGGATGACTCGGAGCCGCTGCGACCACATCTACCGCTGGAGGATCCCGTCCAGAACAAGATTGACCAAATGTACCATCACGCTGAAGATCTCAGACGTGCACAGCACATTATGGAGCACCTGGCCACTGGTTCCGCTGGAATTCCAGCAAGCAAGCAGAACTCTCAACACACTACTCCCTCTAGACAGCAGACGCAGTTCCGAACCGAAGGTCTTGATACCAATCGCGAGAAATTGATCAGTTTTGATGCGGCGATGGCCGAATGCAGCGAGCGCGCCAGGGCCTAGGATGTTCATGGCCTCGACAGGTCACAGTCTCTTGACGTAGATCCAGTCAAGAAGAGAGGTTCAGATTCGCTGTCTGTTCTTGCCGGAGGACGGCTCTCGCGTTCTCCATCATGGCTGAAAAGTCCTACTCAGATGTCAAATCGCATGACGAGCAGACTGATGACAATGGAGACCAAGAGTTCTCCCCAAATGAAAACACCTAGTAGTGGAGATTCCGCCGTAAAGACAATTAGTCCAGCATCTGCAATTTCCTCCGAGAGTGCCAAGAGCAGCAGCCACCTGATACAAGGTCAGTTTGAGCAGCTCAGTTCCCCAACAGGCGGAGCGTCTATCCAGTGGCCAAAGTTGAAGAAGGTTCACAAAGAGGCAAACCATGAAGTGCAGAAGGAGCCACTTCCATGGCTAAAGAGACCGTTGCGTCGCGTGCATAAAGAGGAGAACATATCGCAGCAAGCTCAGGAACAGAAGGCCGCGGACGTTGAGTCATGGAGATCTCAGCTTCGAAAAGTTGCAGCCGCAGAAGCCGAGTCTTCTGAGGGACACAACACGCATCATATCGATCAGAAGCGGGCAGACAGTTGCGTCTCGTGTGGCCACGACACACCATCACCGCGTGTTCCCGCCGACAGGCGAAACAGTACATCAAATGCTGCCAAAGCCTCTCTGGAGGAATTTGACAGGACGGAGCAAGTCGCTCAGGAGGACCATGCTTACGCTATGAGGCACAAGCGTCTTGAAGAGATGAAGAAATCGATCTCTCAGAGATCGAGCTCAAGGACCTCGTCAACGACGAAGATTGAATCAAAGACTGTGAGCCAAGTCACCCGAAATTTGGAGGCTACTCACTCTACTTCGGAAACATTCGAAGTCGAAGACGCCAGTGCCAACGGCAGCGTGGAGCTGGTGGAGCGATTGTCTCGACCTCTTGATGACGAAGTCGAGGTATTCAGTCCGCTACCAATCATGCCACCGAACCATACATGCTCTTGGAAGGAGAGATATCTGAATTTGACAGCGGAGGTGCGGGAGTTGAAGGCGGAAATCGTTTCTCGAGAACGACGCGACACGCCTGGGCACGCGGACGTGGGTGTCAACGTCAGCCAGGATGATGATTACGAATTGGGAGTTGAAGGGCTCACCATTGTCATGCATCTCAGAGGCAAAGACGATTTGATCATCAACACTGACTTGACGCATGCCTCTTCCGGACTTTGAAACAAGGGTGTTTAGAAAAATTAGAATTGCTGTTTGTACGTAGCGGATGGGCAGGGCACGGGATTATGATAGAAGCATGGATTAAACGATGCGAACACACCAATAAATTGCTTTCATTTCTATATCGTCAGCCGTAGTTTTGTATCAGGAGACGTTGTTGGGATACATTCTTCCTCGACCACCGTTGATATTCGCTGTCCATCCTTGATCCATTCTCTTCTAATGATTTCCCCTTCCCTTCCGATTAAATTTCAAATTGGTAGCGTCATGAAGCTAGCAGGCAGTCGTCTGCAGGCCGGCCGTTTTACCGTCGCTGATTCGGACTAGCGACGCCGAGGGACGGTTGTACGGGAATTAGGTAAGCACGGTACGGTACGGCAAGAAGAGTGGAGACCTCCAAAAGCTAAAAGAGACACTGAGGGGGAAAAGAAGCCTCAAACCGACCGGCGGAGGGTAAACAGGGTCCAATTTGGGGAAGGACAGATATTCCATTTGCCGTTTCCCCGTGTCAGAATCAGAAGGAACCCAGAAGCACTCAGCGCTGTAGTACCTAGTCGCCCGAGTGGGAGGCGGAAGGAGAAGGCGGACAAGGTTTGTAAGGTTGGAGCAAGCTGTGGGGCTCGCCCAGGGCGCGCACTGACAGCCGGACGTTGAGGTGATTGGGTCAAATGGATTGGACTTTGCCATTCACACAGCGCACGCAGCCAGCGAAGACAGGACACAGTGACCTCTCCCAGTGTGTTCTACCTTACCTTACCTAAGGTTAGGTGGCGCCTTGAGGAACCCCAGGGCTCTAAGTACCTTTGTCACTAATGGAAGGTACCCGCTGGTTAACCCCTGCTCGCTCTTCCGGAAACTACCACCGCAGAAGCAGCCACCAGCGCAGGCACAAGCACCAGTTTATTTCGAGGCCACGATTGTCAAAAGAAAGTGACTTGGTCAAAGCCAGCAGATTGCGGCCACTTCATGCCCAAAACCAAGTCCCCGACCTCGACCTGGAAGAAACAACCAGCGGACGGAGGCAGACACCATTCCTTGACGGTCTCTGAATTGTTCTTTTTCTACTTTCCCCTTTCAAATCCCTTCTTAGTCTCGTCTACACTTCTTCAAGTGTACCCGCGCACGACACACTCCCACTCTTTTAAGACCTTTTTTTAACTGGGCTGCATAGCTGTCCAGCGACGTGTCCGGATCCGCGCGCAATACTCCCACTCGGACTTGGATCTTGACTTCACGACTGACCACCTCTCCAACACACACCATACACAGCAACCCGACACCGACATTCTAGAGCTCCAGAGCTCGTCGCTGCGCCCGTCAAGATGAGTTCCGACTACTCGTACGACGCCGAGGCGCAATTCTACCCCTTCTTCATCCTCGCCATCACCAGCATCATCACCTTGCCGCTCGGCTACACCCTCGTCTTCCCCTCCAAGGACATTGAAGCGAAGGCCCCACGCATCCAGAGCGACTTCAAGCCCGAGCATGTCGATCTCATCGACAAGCAGCGCAAAGCGCACGAGAAGAAGCAGCGCCGCATTGTGCGCGTCATTGCCGTCCTCATCGGCCTCGCTGTCATGGCCGGCATGATCTACCTCATTATCCACACACAGAGCGTCACACAAAAGATCTGGAACCCATACGATATTCTCGGTATCTCTGACGTATGTTGACCACTCCGCCTCACTGGCTGCCCGTCTCTTCCCCCCTCCATACCCCATCCACATGGTGCTGACACGCTGTTGCGTCTAGTCTGCCGATGAGAAGACAATCAAGAAGGTCTACAAGCAGCTTTCAAGAAGACTGCACCCCGACAAGGTCAAGCCCGACCCGGCCAAGAACGAGACGATCGAGTCCCTCAACAACGCCTACGTCGAGATTTCAAAGGCCTACCAAGCCCTCACCGACGAGGAGATCCGCAACAACTACATCCAGTACGGCCACCCCGACGGAAAGCAGAGCTTCAGCATCGGTATTGCGCTCCCCCAGTTCATCATCTCGGACGGCAACGGCAAGTTCGTTGTCCTTGCCTACACACTCCTCCTCGGTGTTCTCCTGCCTTACCTGGTTGGTTCCTGGTGGTACGGAACTCAGCGCATGTCCAAGGATGGCGTGCTTCTCGAGAGCGCCAACAACCTATTCCGCGCATATGACGAGAACGTTGACGAGGGTGGCGTTGTTACTGCTCTCAGCAGTGGCAAGGAGTTCGATACTGTTCTGAAGGGCGACAAGGCCGAGTCTGGTCTCTCCAAGCTCGAGTCTAAGCTCCAGGCCAACGCCGAACAGGCTGGTGTCTCCCAAAAGGACAAGCAAGCTCTCGAGGACCTCGATAGCGGGGTGCGCCGCAAGGCTTTGGCTCTCCTGAGATCTTACCTCGGCCGTGTCGAGCTCGAGGACGCCGCCCTCGACAGCGCAAAGTACGAAGTTGCTCCCATCGCCCACGCCCTCACCCGATCCTTCTCTGCCATCGCCCAAGCCTATGGTAACACTGGTCCCATTCTGGCCGCATACTCTACCAGCCAGCACCTCATCCAGGCTCTCCCGCCCAAGGCCTCTCCTCTCCTCCAGCTTCCTCACTTCACCCAGGACATCGTTCGTCAGGTCGAGGGAGGCGACTCCAAGGTTCACATTTCTCTTCAGCAGTTCATGGATCTGCCCGATGAGCTTCGCAGAAACCTGGTGGTCCGCAACAACCTCCTTACCGAGGCCCAGTACAAGTCTGCCGTCAATGTCGCTCAACAACTGCCCCAGCTCCGCGTTGCCAAGGCCTTCTTCAAGGTTACTGGCGAGCGATTCATCATCCCTTCCTCTCTGGTTACCCTCGTTGTCAAGGGCCGCATTATCCCCCCTGGCAGCGAAAATGTGCCCGAGGTCAATGAGCTGGACCTGGAAGACATTGACCCCGCCGAAGACGACCTTGAGGCCTACCTTGGCCGCAAGAAGAAGACTATCAAGGGTCCCGACGGCAAGCCTATCCCTGTTGACGACAAGCCTATCCTGCCTCCTCTCGCCCACGCTCCTTACTTCGCCCGCGATCACGCCCCCAAGTGGTACGTTTTCTTGACCGACTCGAAGCAGGGCAAGATGGCTGTCCCCCCCTTCACCTTCACCCAGTTCGACCAGCCCATCTTTGGCGACGACGGCAAGCCCACCTTCAACATGCAAACCCTCAAGGCCCAATTCGCCGCTCCTCCCCAGGCTGGTCACTACACATTCGTTATGCACGTCGTGTGCGACAGCTACGTTGGCTTCGATACCAAGATGGAGGTTACTCTCGTTGTCGAGGAGGCAAACAAGGCGGCAGCAATGGTTGCCGAGGATGATATCAGTGAGCCCGATGAAGGTTAGTACTCCCTCCTCTACCCCCAAGCCATCCACACACTAACAGCAATCAATAGACTCGATAGCCGGCCAGATGCAGGCCCTCAAGGGCGGCAGCGTACCGGGCGCCACCAAGCCCCGCAGGAAAGATGACGATGACTCGGACGAGGAGAGTGGTACGGACGACGATGTCCAGGACGACACGAGCGAGACGAATACCGATACAGAGGATGAGTCATGAAGCGACCAGGCCTTTTGAGCCTGAGTGGGTTGGTTGGTGGGTGGAGTGTAGGAGCTTGATGTGTACGAAGCGATAGAAGAAGAACGTTAGTTGCACAAAAGAAACAAAAAAGTGTAAAAAAAGACTCTCAAAATATACCCAAAGTCAGAACATCAACTACACGGGCACACTTCAGATAGGAGCGAGGGGGTTGTTGAGTGGATCCTGAACTAGAGGGTCGTGTGTGGTCTTCGTACATACATGTTATCGGCGTTGGGTTTTGGCTTCTTCTAGTGTTCACTTGTAATTCAACACTTCCGTTTGGCATCCATCATCTTCATCGTCTCGTCGGTCCACGACAATCGCTCTTCATGACCACTGTGGTGAGACATATCGACGGGTACGTCCACGAGCAAACGTGATTTCATACACGTCATGATGGAAATCATAAAACTGTGACCTGCTTTGAAAGATATGATGTTCGTCCATGATACCAAGAAGATGGTCCTGGTGCATGGGTCACATGCTACTGCCGCCTGAACGGTCTCGCCGTACGTACATGGTCAATCAGTCAGCCAACACAAAACCTCCTTTCTTTTTTTGCAGTTAGAGAAAACGCCCTTCGCCATTTCCTTTCCCCTTCTCCGTTGCAAATGCGACAATAATTCATGTACACTTCTCTCCCGTCTCCCAAACCTCCCCAAGCATCCGGGTATCTGGTATAAAATCGCATCAAACCCGCCGCCGCCGCCCCCTTCCTTGGTTATGAAACTCCATTCGCGCCTCCCGCCAACTGAACCCGTTTCAACTGCACTTTGCAAAGAGGCTTACTCACTAAGAGCCTGGAGCGCGTGGGTGAGGGGAACGACGCGCAGAGATCGCCCGCGCTTCAAGCCGGACGCCGCCTTTTGGGGCATAATGGTCGGGCTAGACTCGTCTCGCCACTTGCGGAACACGCTCTTCAGGTCTTTGGGAATGCCTTCCAACACGACCGTCGAGATGGGGATAAAGGGCCGATCTTCCATGCCACTAGCCAGAATGGCATACTCTTGCGCAAAGTCAAGAGCGTTGCGGAAGGAGCTGTACTCGCTCTGCGCCGTCCTACCGACAATGATGTACATTTCAAAGAATGCATCCAGAACGTAGATGGAGGAAGGGTCCAGGTCAGCCTGAGTGAACGGGCTGATTTCAGTGACCTGTGGTTGTCATGGTTAGCGCTGAGCTGAAGACTAGGAACAACGTCGAGCTTACCTGCTTCGCCGCAGACGCGTCCGAGCGGAAGAGTCTTTGGCAGTACTTGTCGTAATTGGACTTCAAACGCCAGTGGTCTGCAGAGAGCGGCTTCGTGCCGTCGTTGAAGATGGCCCAGAAGCTATCCGGCTCGCTGCCGTCCTCGATTTCTATGAGCTCGCCCATCAAGCTCAAGTCCATACCAATGAGGCGGGCGCAACTCAGCTCATCGACATCACTGCCCTTGCCCTTCCAGAGATAGCACATTCCTGACTGCGTAATCAAGAAGGGGAACCCAGAGCAAAGACTTGCAGATGAGAAGTCGACTTCGTCAAACACAACCTGGCCAAGCGTCCGACGACCACACAGCATGCTTGGTGCCAAGGAGTCGTACTTAGTGTTGGTACCGCGACGGGTGATGATCATACCTCCAAGCGCCATGATGAACTCGGGAGTTTCTCTGCCTTGGCGCATTTTGACGAGCTTGCCGCCTAGCGAACGAGCTTCCCGGTTGACAAACAGAGTCGTGTCTTCCACAGTTGCTGCCGGTACCTCATCACCGGCCCAGAAATACACCTCGGTCTCCTTCCAGCCAGCCTCGTTGGAAAATGTGTGAGCGCAGATGTACATTTCCCGCTCGAACAAGATACGCTCGTTGTGTGATTGTACAGGCATCTTCTTCCCGTCCCCAGTAATTTGGAACAGCCTGGTGCCTTGGCTTTGAATATCGCGTACCCGAGGCTTGTTCATCAATACTTCAGTGGTGTCAAGGCGGTACTCCCTCTGTGGCCGTGGCGTGCCAAAGAAGTCATCCAATAGACTGGAGACCTCTGAGCTTGACTTTGTGGGGGATCGAACAGGAGATGCGACTGGTGTAGGCGAGGAAGGCTTCGGTGGGATAGGCAGGGGCCTTGTAGAGATCCTCGTGGGAGTAGCGGTCCTTTGGACTGGAGACACGGGGCTCTCAAATCGCGACTTGGGCTCCAGAGGTGGCGACCGTACCACGGCACCGCCGAACATCGATGCAGCGTTCTTGACGGACACCACAGGCTCGCTGTCAACCCTGTCATTCGACTTTTGAGGTGAACTGGGCCTGGACAGAGGTCGGCCAAAGGTTCTGAGAGGCGCTACGTGAGGGCTATCGAATTGCTCATTAGGCGGCGGAGACCGAACGGGAGACCGTGTGGGTGATCTGGGAGTTGGTTCGGGCAGCGGGCGTCCAAAAGTCCTGGTGGGCGCAGGAGCTTCCTCCACTTTGTCCGAGAAAGGCTTTGCAGGGGAACTTGGCTTAGGCTCGGGAAGAGGCCGCCCGAAAGTCTTGACAGGAGAGACTTCCTCGCTTCTTTGAAGTACAGGGCTAGGAGGCTTCTCAAATACCGGCTTCGGTCTGACTTCCTCCTCCGACTTTTGGGGTGGCGGGCTGAAGGGCTTCTCGAAAACGGGCTTGGGCTTGATGCTTGGCGACGGAGCCGGACTTTCCCTCCTCGGACTGGCAACCTTGGGGCTGGTAATCTTGGGACTCTCCACTTTGGGGCTCTCCTTTGTCGGGCTGGCCATCTTGGGGGGGCTTTCCATCTTTGGGCTCTCCCTTTTGGGACTTTCAGGCTTTGGGCTCGACTGGTTGTTCTCTTCAAAGAATCGAGACATTCGCTTCATGTCCAGCTTCTTAGGTGAGGTGGGCTGAGAGGCGGGTTCGCTGGGTTTCTCCTCGACGGGCTTGATCGGGGAGGCCTGGAGCTTCATCGTAGGAGATCGGGACCTGCGCTTTGAAACGGGGTCTTCCTCCTTGGCCGGGAGAATAGGCTTCTCTGGAGACTTGTCTGCAGACTTCTCGGCGGGAACCTCAGAAGGGGTACCAAAGGGCTTGAGAGGTGCCGGCCTGTTCTTGGCAGCTGCTTGAGCAGCGACCTGAGCTTGGATGGACATTGGAGCCTCCTTTGCGGGGCTCTTGACGGCTGCTTCTACTACAGGCGACTCCTCCTTCGCCGGTGAGAGAGCACTTGAGCTGGGCTTAGATTCGCTTGCCACTTCTGCGCTTGGCGCAGCTGCGGAGGGAGGCTTGGAAGACGGCGCCTTTCTTCTCGGCCCACGAGCACGACCCTTAGTCATGTGTGTAAGCTGAGGTCCTGGAGCCGTAGGTTCGGCGGGCGCGCCGCTCGATTCTTCTGACTTCTCGGCCTCACGACCTCCATTGGTAGCCATGGGAGGAGGGCCACGGGCCAAAAGTCCTGCGAGTGCAGGATTGAAGCGGCCCGCTAGGCCACCGGCAGCGGCACGTCCTTGGAACCGACCAGGAGTAATGCTCTCCTTCTGAACCTCGGCCGTAGGTCCAGGTTCTACTGGCGACTTGATAGAAGGTGATCTAAGTGACGGCGACCTGGCAGAGGGCGATTTGACAGAAGGCGACCTGAGCGAAGCAACCGACTCGTTGGAATCATCTCTGTACGATGACTTGGGCCTTTCGCTGACAGACTTTCGGTGCTCGATAGCGGAGGGCGAGGTAGCATCTGATCTACCCGAAATCGACTTGCTCAACGCATGTCTTTTCAGCAGAGCTTCTGGAACAGGGTTCTCAGATGCATTGGACTTGGTTCTAACCACGCCTTTGCCTTGCGATTGAGCAGCCTGGAAATCCTGCTTCTTCTTCAAAATCGCATCTTTGAACTCATCCTTGCGCTCGCTGGGCTTCGGGCCACCGGTGATGTTTAAGGCCGCTTTGCCGCGCGAAATATTGCTCTTTAGCTCATCCGGCGCCACGTAATTCTGCGTCTTGGTCCGTCGCAGGTTGCCAAAAACATTCTGCAACTCGTTGGTGGGCTCTTTGGAAGAAGCAGCATCGCCAGAGACGTTTCTGGACTTCAGACCAGCGCGGAAATCCTTCTTGGGAGGGGTTTCAGGCTTGACTTTAGCCACAGAAGGGCTGTCAGTGACCGAGGAGCGCTTTGGGATATCCACGGACAGGCCATCCCCTTCCGGCTTGTCCTCGCCCGCCGGGCTTTTGATTGTGCTGGTACGGAAGCTTGGGCTGCTGATGCTGCCGCCGGTCTTGTGGGTTTGCACTGGTGGTGCGTATATACCCTTGAGGCCACTTACAGAGGGCTTGGACACATGGCTTCCCATAGGTGATGAACGCATCAACCCGCCGACATTGACTTCGTGCTTCTGCGATGATACCGAGCCGCTTCGGCCAAGGTCGGCACTGGGGTTGGCAGCCTTGTGAGCCTTTGCTTTGTTGAGCTCTACCATCCAAGCTGGCTGGTTTGACACCGGCGGAGGTTTAGGTTTCGGGGACTCTGGCTTGTTCAGCGCAGTTTCCAGCCAGCTTGCCTTCGTCGGGCTCCATCTTCTAGAATCCATAGTCTTCGAAGGGCTTGATGGCGGTGTCACATCCTTATTGTCCTCCTCCTTGTTATCGAGCTTGGTATCGAGCTTGGTATCGAGCTTGACGTCAGGTTTGGTCTCGGGCTTGGCTTCGGGAGGAGGTGCTGCTGCAGGTGCTTTTGGTGTAGTCTCGATCTCGTCTGGTTGTTCCTGGTTGCTATGTCGAGAAGTAGGGCGAGAGGCGGGGCGGGACAGAGACCGAGAGTGAGATGACCCCGTAGGTGTAGCAGCTCCGTCCCGCATGTACATGCTCTGCGGACGGGAGCGAGACTCAGGCCGGCTTGAAGCAGCTGAATCGGCGCGGACGAGGCCAGGGGGAGAGGTTACACTCCATCTCTTGACGCTGTCTGACCTCTTCATCATTGCGCTTTGGACGAAACCGCCCATGCCCTTGGTAGGAGAAACAGGTCGCGTGGGTGACGAGCGACCGGATCCAATGATTGACTTTCGGCGCAGCGCTGTGGGATCATTCTCGGAGATCTCGGCGGGGGGGTCAAGTCTCTGGGAGCTGCTGAGTGACAGCGGAGAGCCCAGCCTGGTGTCTTTCGTCGGGCTAGACTGCTCGGCAGACAAATCTGTGGAAGAGCTGCGGCTCATGCCGGGGAGCTGATGGGCGCGCATTGAGGACATGTCGTTGGTATCGGTATCCTCAACCTGACTCTTGCGATTTGCAGCTGAGCCGACGCTGGCACGATCGGCCGTTTGGCGGAACCACGCGGGGTCTTTGGAAGCCAGTGATTGGGAGATTTGGTCCCTGGAGAAGGTCTGCTCGGTTGCAGAGGAGGGGTCGGGAGTTGGGTTCTGCGAGGTCCTGGTCGCGTTCTCGGCGGCAACGACGGACAAGGGGCGGCTCTTGGATCGATCCGAATGCTGAGAGTTGGGACGTCTCTGCCACGACAGCGGCCGCGCTCCTGGTACGCCGCTGGTAGGAGAGGTCACGCTCGATCGCTTGCTTTCGGCGTCAAAGGGGGAATCGTTCTCCTTGGTTGGAGAGGTTGAGAAGCTGTCCATGGTTTCGGGAGCTGCGATGCCTCGTGAGAGAGGGCGAGGGCTGCCTGTGTGTTCGAGACCGGGAGAAGACAGTCTTAGGTCATCGGAAAGCTGCGTCGTGTGTGTGTTACCTCGAGAGGAGGGTGGTGGGGTGTTGGCCGGGGACGATTTCTGAGGGGAAATGGATCGAGCGCGTTCTGTCAAATGTTGTCAGAGAATGCGATTCCAAGATTTTCTTCTTGTGGAAGAACACGGTCGCGCAACAAGATGGGAAAGAAGAACAGTGCCAATTGCAGAGGAAAAGTGAGCGTCGATGATTTCCCTTTAGGTCACAGGCGAAAAAACAATGGACGAAGGCCGTGTGTGGTGGTTATTGAGGGTGGGAGTCAAGGCGTTGAGGCGTCGCCCGCGGCTCGCCCAGTGCGGCGGCCGTCCCGTCAGTAGCTCAGCTCTTGGGCCAAGGGCAACCTGAACCTGAACATAGCACGGCACGAGCACGAGCAGGCGAATGGCACACGGCAAGCTGCAAAGTAGGATTTGTGCCTTGGCCGGGTCGGGAAAAGAAAGCTTGTTGAATAGGGCAGACACGGTGGTAGTCAGGTAGATGATGCAGTGGGTGAGGGGAGGAGAGACAAGCAGTAGTAAGGCAAGAGGGGAAGCAAGGAGAAAGACGGCAAGATGTAGGTAAAGATGGACGTACCGGCGCGACGAGCTTGTCGTTCTCTCTTCTCCTGCTGTATCTTTTCGTCGAGTTCGCGTTGACGGGCGTCGTCTTCTTCGGTCCGGCGAGCATTCATCTCCTTGACATCTTGCAAAAACTTGGAGACGTCGTCCATTGTTTGTTCCGACATGTTGAGGCGGAGGACAGAGTCATGACACGGTTGCGGGTGGGGGAGGAATGGAAACAGGTGGTTCTGTATGCGCAGGAATCCCCCCGGTTAGGACGTATGTCGTGGCAAGGCGAACGGGTAAGGTAGTGAGGTCTTTGTTGGAGAAGGATATGTTGTCTATTTTTTCCCTCCCTCAGTCGGTCTCGTCTTTTGGTGTCTGGTCCGTCCGTGGCGGGATTAGGACAGGATAGGACAGGATGGGATGGGATAAGGTAAGGTAGGTGTGCGCAGTGCTCCGTCAGGTACGCAGGACGCGGACGCAGACGCAGTGCAGGGTACCTCTGGTTCGTCACCTCTTGGATGGGTGCCGCTAGGCAAATGGCGCCAAAGCAAGGTACTTGGGCCAAGGCGAGAGCGGAGCAGCCTCACAGACGTAAGGCAAGGTAGCGTAGCCCACGGTTAGGTACGGATGGGCAGGCGTGCGTTGTGGATGGAGACAAAATGGAGTCGGGTCTCTGGTCTCTCTGGCGACTTTGTTGTTTGGATTGAGGAACTGCCTTTCTTACCTTGGCGTAAGGTACCTTAGGTTACATCTATTAGGTTGTGTGGTTGTGTACTGAAAACTTGTCGAATGCGTGTGGTACCCGAGTTTCTGTTGATGTGGGCGGCGACGGCGGCGGCTGAGGCTAAGGAGCATGAACCACAATCCTGGGAAATGCAGTCGGCGTAAGCAAGTAGGAGCTGTGAACGCGGCCTGCTTTCGGTCTGGACGGGATGCAAAGAGGACAATGATGTTTTTCACTGGTGACCTGACTGAAATAAGGTGCTGCAGGGTTCGAAAGTAAACACATATGACCTGAAGTGAAGGCAAGCAGGTTTCTGCGAAGGCTCCTTCCGGATGCTTACTGCGTGCTGATGCGAACAGTTGCATCCCGCGTCCAAGCTGGGCAGTCTGGGCTTGCCTCTTTTTTCTTCCTTGCCCTTGCCAATTGGGCAGGTGAACAGGCCCCCCCAACAATAGCAGCCTGCACGTCAGGTAGCACTGGGCGCTGGGTGACTGGGCTGGTCTCTTGAAATGATTTCTATCGATATGCCCACAGACTCTAAGGCGCAACTGTGCAACATTCACCACAATTTCTCCCACACACGCGAGGGCTTCAACGTGAAGTTCTTCGTCAATGTCTCAAACGATTCCAGCAAGCTGCTCAAATGGTTTCAACTCAGCTCTTCTCAGCTCAGCTAAGCTTCCCTAATGCGGCCATCTGACTTGGCCTTGGTACCTAAGGTAGGTAGACGAAGAAGACCTCGAGGTGCGAATACCTAAGGTAGTTGTAACTTGCAGGTGGATGTACACAAAGAAAGTGGAACCAAAACAACAAGGATACGTACCTCAAGGTAGGTGAGGTGTTGCTGCGTGCTGCGTGCATTGGCCACTCGCTTCTCCACACCGGCAACCCCTGTCTCACAATGGATATATTTCGTACCTGAGATCCCTTGCACCAAATTTCGACATTCAAGCGCCCTTACTGGCCCGATGGGGCGTTTCAATCACATCGTTTCAAACCATGATTTCCGGAGGGATGTCCCGGTATTCAACTTCAACGGCTTGCAATCTCTCTTCTCGGTCTGCTGTAATGAGTCCAATTCCCTTCCAAGCCCGACTACCTTAGGTGGTTCAGCCCGGACCCAAAAGACACCGCACATACTTTAAAGTGCTCTGAAGAATCACAGACAATCTTAACGCGGTGCTGACGTTGACGGGTAGCGGCTTACCGTCAGTGTCCCCTCATTTCGTATTTCTTCTTCTCGGGCATCTTCGGACCAAGCAGTGACCCGATTTTAAGCAGAAAGGCACTCGCGCAATGGGCCACATCCACACATGTACGGAGACAGTACTTCGTAGACGCATCACAGCCGTCATCCTTAGCCTCAGAGGATATATTGGTATGCTATTAATACGGATAGTGGTGATCTCCTATTGAACAACGTGGCTTCGCATCTCTCGACGCTGGGTATCCCATCAAAGGTACTTGTCACTCCGTTACACAACGTCGATCCCGACTCCCGAGCCGCCACAGAATCACTCGGATCCGGCCCTTCCTGGGACCGTCCTTCCAGAACACTCTGACACGCTTCACCATGCCCCCCATTGACCCGGCCGCCTCTATGCCCGTCCGTCTTTATCCTAGCCATTCCCAGTTTCCTAACGGCGCGCCCGGGAACTAGCTGAACAAACGTGGCCGGGACATCCTCGAATCGCTGGCTCGCTGAGCCTCGAGAGCGAGCGAGGAGCCGCACCGTCGTAGTGGTGACTGGTGACCTGGCAAGAAAAGCTAACCACCAAATGGATACCTGAACTCCCCGCTTGCCTCTAGTACAGGAATAGCCTCTTCTTTGCGTCGTCCACCACCCAAGCAAGGCCTTCCTTGAGGTTGCTGCCTGTCATGGCACTGCATCGCAGGACGTGCCAGCGATGTGTTCTGATCGCCTCCAATTGCAGCCCCTGAAGAAAATACGTCAGCTCGATTTCCCCTAGTAACGATTCAAGGTGTGGCTGTCCCGGAGCACCCAACTTGAAGAATTTCCTGCTCGTCCATGCATCCGTTGACGTCGGTCTTGTTGGCGAACACGAGCAAACTTGCTCCAGACAATCGCTGTCAATCAAAAGTTAGCACACCGACGTGGTCGCATCCACTTTCACACGTGTCATCGTCGTTGTCATCGGCGGCGGCACGAACCTCTTCTTGCAGCAGGCCGTGGAGCTCCTCTCTGCAGTCCTCGATTCTCAGTCGGTCTGTGGCATCGACTACCCAGATCAACGCATCTGTCTTTTCAAAGTAATTCCGCCAGTACGAGCGTAGTGTCTTTTGCCCACCCACGTCCCCTATTCTGGTCAGGCTTGCCGCCAACGAAACTCAGCATCAGACAGAGGACGTACATATGTTTAGCTTGTATCTGGTGTATGATTAGCACTCTTACATGATAATGAACTGGATAGATGTGCCGACGAACCCATCGTAGTCTATAGTCTTGATGATGAAGCCCAACGTCGGGCTTACTGTGTTGACGTCTTCGCCCATAATCTTCTTGACGATCGTAGTCTTTCCCGCATTATCGAGGCCTCTGAAATCAGCATCAGCAAGTGGGAAAGTGGCTCGTGTGGGGGTTGGCTCACTAACAGCATCAGGATTCGCATCTCCTTGTCTTTGAGACGTGCTTTTCTCAGAATGGACAACATGACGAACGGACGGGAACCCTATCCCTGACGTGCATCGACTACTGTGTATTTTCTCGAATATCTCAAAGTTTGGGAAATGCACATCACGGTATATTTCTTGTCATGTAAAAGAGCTGGTGCAGTGGATAGAGGTTCGTCGGCGCTGCCTGAATGGATCGATTGACCACACGTGACCCCGCAGTATCGGTCTGGGATCGGTGAAGCAGCTCCGAACGGGGCTTACCGAGCACACCGAGCGTTTGGACTACAAGCATCGCCAAACGTACATGATGGGTGTTTCTCACCACGCCATAACGATATCTCAAGATGATAATAATAATCTTTCCATGCCTAATATATGAAGTATGATATATCAGAGGGACTCGGAGTCTCATGGACAAAAAATGGCCCTGGTGGTCAATACTGAGTAGGTAGAATCAATCATCAATTGCCTCACATTAGAATGAACAGGATTGTGTTCAGGAGAAAAGGTTTCAAGTATCTCTTGAGCTCGCTTTCTACTAATGAAATCGGAGAGTTCGAGTGCATACCTATATTCGGTATGAGTTGATAAGAGGGAAGGGGCTTCCGGGAGAAGCCTGTGCCTGCCCCGAACAGGCGTGCCGCTGGACCTTCCTCCGACTTGCCTAGAAATTTCACCTTCAAAATATTTCCTACCGCACACCCCACCCACTTCCCTTCCTCCCTCCGAGGTGTCTCTGACCCAACTTAACCCTTTCTCACTCAAACCGCTACACACCGAAAGCTTCTTACTTCCCTTAAACTGTCCATCCTCTTCATCGACAGAAGTGGTTTTGAAATCTTTCACCGATTCCGGAGAGCCAGCTTACATTTCCGCTATCGCTTCATCTCTACAAGCCGACACCAGAAAACCCACCTTTGCTTCAGGTCGCCTTGGTTCAAATCCGACGCGCTCTCACCATACATCCTCGTTCAGATACTCGTATCTGCGCTTCTACAACAACACTGCCGTAACCAACAACTAGGTGAGTAAATCCACTCTCTGTGGAATGGATCAAAAAAAGACATAAGTGTGCTCATTTTTCTAATACCCATTGTTCGGCCAGATACAAGGCTCCTTGTGTTTAGCCAAAGCACACATCGATTACAAGATGTCAAACTCAAAGGGGGGCATCAACCCGGAGAAGAAGATTGGCGGAAGCATCTTCCAGTGCAGCCACATTGAGAAGAATCATGGCAAATCACTTGATATCAAATTGTCGGCTTCCGCAAAGCCTTTCATCCCAGCGAAGCGATCTGGTGAGAAGACGACCCCGTTGAGCCATGATAAGAAGGATCACGGCGAAGACTTCGATCTCAGCATTTCGGTCCCCAAAGAACCTGTCACCAACGAGGAGCATATTGGTGAACACAGAAACCAGTATTACCATGGTGAGAACAATTGCGGCAAAGTCGAGTGCATCGATCTCACCACGTCGAACCCCGCAAAGTCTATCATCTTGAAGAACCAGACTGGCAACAAAGAGAACCAGTCCATCCATGAAGAGGGAAGCCGTGGAGAGCACTTCTTCCTCGAGTTCTCGAAAGAGCCTGTCAGCACCGAGAAGCGAGCTGATGACATCAAGAGCCAGTGTAGCCACGATGAAGAGCATCGTGGCGAAGGCATTTCCAGAGTGGACAGTCCTTATCCTTGGTCTTCCATCGGCTTGTATCCCCAGGAGGCTGGCTCAGCTCGGTTCACGTTCTATCCTCCCAGCCCGGCCGTGATTGTGAGTAGCGCCAATGGAAAGGCCCAGGCAACGGCTCTTTCCTCAAGCAGCCCTTCTGGAAAGCTCACTCAGCCGATCAAAAGATCGACTTCCATTCGTTGGGCCATGAATCTTCCGGTCCCCCAGAGAAGGCTGACACCTCCTGCCTTCTTGAATGACCCCACTTCCAGCCCTGAAGCTCGGCGAATTTCTTTTGAATTCAACACTCGCAGAGCCCCCGGTGGAGATATTTACAGTGCTGGCTTAGAGAACGCTGACTACGATTACCTCGCCGAGCGCCGAGCATACGTTGCAAGAAGTTTTGAGAGAACACGGAGGCAGAGAGAGGCAAAGATTGCTGCTCAGCGTTTGAAGATCCAATCCGACGCCGACGACGACGAGAACAATATGATGGCCGCTACCCTTCCGATGCCGAGCGACTACATTCCTCCTCATAAGAGACTCGCCAAGACCAAGGCCAAGGCTGGGGCAAAGGGCGAGTCCAAGATCGAAGACCCAGTTACCGAAAGCCAGGAGCCAGCCACGACTACTAGCTACTACGCGGAGTCGGATACCGCGTCTTCAACAGATGATGGTAGCTCGCGCGTTCCTCTTTCGGGCACATTGAAGAAGTCCGCGCCCCTGACACCCATGGCTCTGGAGAATCTTCCGGAGAGAATGGGCGTCACTACCAAATCGAAGAAGAGCCACTCGTCCTGGGATGTGAGCAACAATGACAGAGCTTCATCGGGTCAGGACAGAGAGGATAACAACGCAGTCGCTCGATCCGAGGCGAAAGTCACTGGCACGCCATCTTTTCTAACTTGGCTTTATACTCTGGATGGCCCGCTCGTCACTTCCTTCCTCAACGAGAACCAGGATCATCACTACCACGATGTTAGTACCGACACTGGAAAGCTCATCGAACACATCGAGCAGCCGCCCACAAAAGCCGATATTGTGGACGAGAAGAACATGACACCCGAGATGATTCAACGTCGCCGCGAATGGACCAGTAACCTGCTCGTTCATCGCGAGATCATGGTCCGACAGAACATGGCCATTCGTCAACGCTTGCAGGAGGAGGAGCGGGCCCACCACGAAATGGCCATTCTTCGGGATCGTGACTACAAGAGAGATGCTGCGTCGCCCACGAAGATGAAAACCGCAGTGGCGCCTATCTTGGACGAAAATAGCCGTCTGGCAGACTGCGTCCTTCGTCCTGCCCAGCCTTCAGATGCCGAAGCTTGTGCCGAGATGTACAACCTGGCTGTCGGTAAAGATCCCCTGGTGACAGATACCTACCCGGTGTCTGTTGAGCGGTTCGAGTACATCATGATTGAGTGCAAGAGACAGAAGCTTCCATTCATCGTTGCGACTACCAAGACGACGGACTTGACAGACCCCGGCAACTGGCCGTCTCGCGACGCTTACCGACAGTACATGAAGTGGATGCAGTCTCAGCCTACGAAGGTGTCATCCCCTGAGACTACTGTCTATGGATTCGCCTACCTCCGTCCGTACGAGACGGGTATTGGAGGACTCACCGGCAACGCGACCCCGACTGTTAAGGCCACAATCTTTGTTCATCCTGAGCATCGACGTGGTCGGATCGGAAGTGCCCTTCTTCATCAACTCCTCAGCCAGGTTTCCATCTTGTACCACGGCTTTGTCGAGTGCCAGTGGGCCGATCCGAAAGCTGGAGAAGACGCGTTCTACAAGCCCGACTTCCGGAACATTCATCGTAAGTAGTCGAACGTGAAAGATATGTCATATTCATTAGCTAATGGACTTTGCTAGGTGTTGTTGTACACACGATGGCCCAGAGCGAGGGCGGACAGGGTCTCAAGTGGATGGACGACTTCATGTCGTCTTTCCAGTTCGAAAAGGCCGGTCGTCTGAACCAGGTTTACAAGGTGAAGCAACCCCACGGCGCCGATTGGTACGACCAGGTCATCTGGCAGCACTGGGCCAACAAGATCCCCTGCAAAACATTCTACGTGGCAGACGACTCTGAGTGCTCCTACGACTACCCTGGAAAGCGCCACTCGCCTGGTGCCCGAAGAGCCAAGTCTCCCGATGCTCCCCAGGATCAGCAGCACGACGATGGTAGCCTTGACAGCGACAGCGACGATGTCTTTGGAGCCTAAGCATTGCTGAGCAAGGCCACATTCTGACCTTATGCGCTCAAGTATCAGTGGCCTCTTGTAGATTGATCACAATCGAACGAAGACCCGATGTTGGTTGATTCGATCGATAATGGCACTTTGGAGGTGAGTATCTAACAGCAATTTATTCTACGAGAACAGCCCGAACTGATATTTGCAAAGGACGGCATCAGTCACCGAAACAGAGCCAAGTTCAATAGGTTGCCAAGAATAATTCCCGAATTTCCCCTATCATACGACCCGTTCTTGAAGGCAAGAAGAGAGTATTGGACACCGACGTCTCGTGGCTTTGCAACGAAGATCCGAACTAGCAGCTTCACATTGCAGCTTCGTATCGGCATCTGACAGCAATTCGCATACGACTTCCGCGTCCGAGACACTCTTCACTGGCTTTCCATTTGCTTTTTCTTTCAGTCTTGTTTCACACTTGCCGTCATCAACAAACCCCCTTCCCTAATTGGATGTCAGAGTACACACACCTTCTTTACACCTTGATCAAGACAAGGTTTCTTCTTCTACTCAGGCTTTTTTTGACAGCCATGTTTTCGGGAGGTCAACAGGATCTCATGGAAGACATGCGGGCGGAAATAGGCAGGTTCGATTGGGACTTGGCGATCGTGGATCATATCTCACCGATCTCGGGGACACAAGACTCGTTGTCTCTCAGTGGGTGGTTACTATGGGTATAGCCATGGATATTGGGATCTTGGCCAGGGAGTGGTTACGAAAGGAGAGAGAGAGGTTGAGAAAAGGAATGCCCCAGAATGTGCAAGGGCCGGTCTTGTTTTGCTCTTTTTTTCTTTTTATACTTGGTGTGTTTACTACCTTAATACTGCAACGGTAGATAGCTCACTGAATCTTGTCCATTAAACCATGTGCTTACTCCCCCGAGTTCGTGATGTTCGTGTTCTGATTCAAGTTGGCAACCATACGTTGAACGAACCGTATACTGCGTTCCCAACTGTTCTTGAGAAGGAAACTTCATTCAGCATACCATGTCTGCAAAAACTCTATGAACTAAACCAAACGCCTACCTACCTCATCCCGTCACCGCCGCCGGAAATTAGCCAAACTATACGAATCATCAGGATAAATCGTCGACGCCTCACTCAAAGGCGGCCGTCCCCCCACCGTCGCGACGCTACGCCCATCGTCATCATCACCACGCAGAGGCGACACCTCTCGCACAGGCCGATCACGAGACGACGGAGCCCAAGTCCCAGCTTGCGTGGAGCCCGCCGTGGGTGTTCTTAACCCGTCCCCGTACTCTGAACCGGCCTCCGACGCAGGAGCACCAAAGTCAACATGATCCCTGAAACTCGGCCGGCCGATACGTCCCATCTCCTCCAGGCGAGCCACCCTCTCTTCCTCGGCTAGATACCATGCTGCTTCAGTGGGGGACATCTCGAACCCACGAGGGGGAGCAAATTTCGCATCTGCGGCGCGGCGGCGGTCCTGTGTCACGACATTGTCACTCTGAGGCGAGGGGGAGGAAGTACTTACGAGCCCGCCCGGACGGGGTCCACGGGGTCTGCGGGCGGAAGACGAGCGAGACGTGACGTCGGGCCAGGCCGTGACGATGGAGGCGAGCGACTCGGTCGTGGGGTGAGGCCGGGCCGGCTCGCTGTTCGAATACACGCTGGCGTCCGTATACGACGAGCTGCTCGGCGCCGCGGTCCCGTACCCGCGGAACGGCGGTGGGAGGGTAGCGGCGGGAGGCGTGACGGGCCGAGGAGTGCGCGGCTCGGAGTCCGTGGAGTCTACGTGTCGGAACCGATCACGTCGTCGGGCATCGTCTTGGATCATCGAGGGGGGAAAATCAGATGCGCGTAAACGCTGTTCACTCCTAGCGGGACTATTAGCAACAGCGTCATCCCAAAGTGCCCCTTGTTCTTTCCGATCCACCTCTTTTCCCGTGCCAAAGTCTCGACGGAACTGGGCATCGGGTTGAGGCGCCGGGCCGCCAAAGGCCGGGTGGAGGGATGATCGGTCGAAAGCACGTTCGTTTCCGTTCTGGCGGGCCAGCCGTTCGTAATAGTCCCCAACCGCATCTTGCCACGGCCGATTCTCATTGTCGGGATTTTCGTCATCTGGGTCAGCAAATGGGTCCTCGCTCAGTGCCGTGGAAGGTCGTCCACTCGCGGTCGATTGCTCGCCCGGAATTGAGCGCGGAGTATCGCGTCCGGATGTCTTCCTGATACCACTGCTGGCATTCTCTAAGCCCCTGGCTTGCTTTTGGTGCACTTTCGCCTCGCGTCTCTGTTGTCGCGCTGCCTTGACATCTTTGAGCATAGCCCGAATTTCCTCGGCTAAGTTTGCGCTTCTTTTAAAGACTTCTCTTTGTGCAGCCTCAGGGAACTCGTTAATCCACGCGTCCACGATCCTTTGCAGGCATGGCGACGTTCTCTTCGTCCGGGCAATGAGATTAGCACGAAGGTCGCCAAGGAAAGAGGGACGAGACCCAAGTGCTGACAAGATGCACGCCTCACAATGCGAATTTACATGGCTTAGCACTTTCGGCTGGCGACCATAGAGGAGTTCGAAGTTGTACGTGTCCATCCACAGGGCCTGGATACCATCCAGACGACGAACGAATTCTTGTATTAAGGGTGTAAATTCCGGACCTCTGTCGCGTTGTCGGTCATGTCGTAAGCTGGCCGTTTCCACCGTGATCTCTTTCAGGACCAGTGCAAAAAGGGCGTGAATTGTCCAAGGATTCAGGCCGTGATGGCTTGAGCAAAGGACTGCGGCCGTCGGTGTGAACGAAGGCTTATACTTCTCGCTGATCTTCATCAAACCGCGAGTAACAACACTGACCACATTGGCCCTGCTGCGTGGACGGAGACAAGCCGCGGGCAGTTGTTTCATCGTTTCCTCTTGCTCCCTCAGCCAACTTTTTGGGGGTTTCGCAATGCTGTGCTCCACCGGGAGATAAAGGTATCGAACCAACTTCCTCACCGATGCATTTGTTAAATCGTGTACACTTTGGTACGGGCTGGACATAGTGATAAGTTGATGAGAAAATTTTGAGTGAATCGTTAAAAGTTTCGGTATAGGTGTCAGTAATTTTGAGGCTGTTTGTTTTCGCTGACTGCGATTCAAGAGCTGCAATGGGCAGTCTTTCTATACTCGCTGACGATGGAATAGCCACATCATTACCGAACAATCTCGAAGTTGACAATGTCTTTGAACCATAACTTGCTTGACCAAGGACAACAAGCTGTTCCTTTGGGTTCAAGCGACACAATGCAAAAGACACAGGTAACTTTGGCGCGGGAGAGCAGTATTGGGCTGTGACAAACAAAGAGAGAGACATTGTCCTGCTTTGTCGAAACCTTCCTCAATTCTAAACCGCAGAACAAGTGCGGAGGCTCTTCTCTACTTGTGTTTGTTGCCGTCGTTCGTCAATCTGAGAAAGGCGGGCACAATCACCCAGGCCGCGGCTGCGATCACATTTGCGTCGATTCCGACCAACAAAACCAGGGATTACAGAGGGCTAGGAATTATCGCCGCACTTGTAGTTGGTCACGTGTGGAGAAGTCCCTGGCGTTTGGTTTGATTTGTGGCGGCAACCATTGATTCGTGACTCGCGAGTAGCGATGGAAACAGACGCATCGCTTGATCGAACCTAAAAATGAATGGGCTGATGTAAGCGACATGCTCAATCAAAATTGCTACTGTGCTAGGAACGACTCACAAGGCGGTTCTGCTATGCATAGTCTCGTTCCTGGATTCTGTTATGTTGAAACAGTCTACTCAAATCAGTTAGGGTCTCCAAAAAAGAAAAAAATTGAAAGCATCGATCAGTGGTCACTCCAGAAGACTGAAGAAGTGGTTGACAAGCCGGGAGGCTTGCGTCGGTCATGAGAATCGCTCTATTGAGCCTGGCGACAAGGCACGACATCTCTCTCATCGAAACGTCTCTACTAGCAACGCTGTCCAGGGCGTGGCTTGACCGTTCGTGCTACTCTCTCGTGTTGCTGCGAGTTTGACCCTTATCCCGCGAAACACAACCCAAAAAACCCCCGCATGCCATCAAGCCTTTTGCTATTTAAGGGCAGAACATGGCTGACCTTTGATGAGGCCCATGTCGGAAAAAAATCAAGTTGCACGAGCGCCATGCCCTTCCAATTCCGTCGGCCCCCATCGTACAGACCAGATATCAAACGGCCAAACTCCCGTATCATGCTCAGCTTTGTTCGTTATAGACGTAAGGGTTCGAAAACAGCTTCGTAGGCTAGGAATCATGCGTGGTATCGGTGATCCCCCTCCTGTCTCATTCGCTCTAGGCGGATCTTGGCCGCTTCCGTACCATCGTCCGGTGTCGCTGGTTCCTTGAACCAAGGATGTTGCAATGCCTGCTTCGCTGTAATGCGATGCTGGGGATCATAGACAAAGATCTTCCGAAGGAGATCCAGGAAGTTCTTGAAGTAGGTTGAGTTCGATGGGATGATATCCTATAAATCGTTAGTGAGCCGTCTTTCAGGACTCTGCGAGCCTGTTTTGCCTACCTCCAATCGTCTCATAGCCTTGACGAATCTCTTGGAAGCTCGTGTTGTCTCGGGTGTAGGATAGTCAAGTTTCAAGCGCTTGAAGTATCTGCACAGTGTCAGTATGCGTTGCCCTTACCCAACTGGGCCATGAACCACTCACTTCGAGGCGGGGTTTCCGCCACTTCTAGTAGCCATCTTGTTCACAGCTTGGACGAGGCTGGAGTCTATCCTTTGCCCGACAACCATTTCCATCATTGCGAGATGCTCGAGGTTGTCGTGTGTTTGGAAAAGAGCATCGCCGGTGAAGAACTCGACTAATATGCATCCTATGCTCCATATGTCGCAGGGGAATGACCATCCAAGTCCCAAAATGATTTCTGGCGCTCGGTAATGACGGGTGCTGACGACGGAGCTGTGGTATTCGTCTTGGAAAGTGGCACTGCCGAAATCAATCAAGCGAATTTCCGTGTCGAGCAGGACTCTGCGCTGATTCGCCTGCCGGTTGACGGTCGTAGAAGAGGAGGGTATCTTTCGGTTGTAGGTGAAGGTCTGGTAGGCGCTGTCGCACAAAAGAATGTTCTCAGGCTTCAGATCAGTGTGGATGAGGTTGAGATCGTGCAAGACTGCAGTATGTTAGCGAAGGACTTATTGCAGAGCTTATGGCAGACTTACAGGCAACGCTGGTGAAGAGCTGTCGAGCAAAGCTCTGAATCTGGCTGTTGGGGAAGGGGACGAAACTGTTGCTCTTGAGGAAATCAAAAACGCTTTGGCCAAGAAGGTCCATGACGATGCAAATGTGGCCGCGGTAGTCGAAACAGTCCCTGAGGTGGATACAGCGATTGCGGTTTTCGTCATCGTTGGCCTTGAGTGTTGCGAGAACTCGGAGTTCTATTCGCGAGGCATCTCGGTATTTTTGGACAGACCGAATAATTTTGATGGCCACCGACTTGTTCCTCTTACGGTCTCGAGCCTGGACGACTTTGCCAAATGTCCCTTGCCCGAGTAGCTTCACCATCTGGTCTGCATTCAAGGTTAGTCCCTGATGGTTGATCAGATTGAGCGAGTTCAACATACACTTATCCGTAAGGTCGGCGTCAGGAACAACAATGTAGTGTCCATCATCATCGTCGACTTTGGCATTCTTGTTGTAACCCTGCTGGGAAAACATCAGCAAATGAATAAAAGTCGTCTTACGACGAGACGATGATACTTACATCCTGAACCAACCGAACGTGAACATCGGGCGCTTTCTTGGGAGGGTAAGGAGGCGGCTTGTAGGTGAGGAATGGATCGCCGAGGCCCTCGACCTCTCTCTTCTTTGCCTCTTGGGCAATCTGTTGACGGGTTCTCTTACGCTTCTGACCAGGTTGGGCATCGTAGTACTCGTGTCCATTTGAAGAGAGGGACGTGGCAGCGGTGGTGTGGATGGCGGAGTTTGTAGTGCGGTCGGTTGATATGGTCGATCCGCTGGGGGTGCCATTGTGGTGAGGAGTGGTAGTGTGAGAACCGGCGTACTTGTTGTGATAGACGGGATCGTAGTGCTGAGGCTCGTCGTCTCTTTTCCTCTTCTTGGGAACAGGTCGGCTGCTGGCACCATTTGTGGTGGCGCCGTTCACGCTGCCGTTACCATTGGAGACGACCCTTACGCCGTTGCCGACGGCTTTGCCCTGCTCTGGCTCTGGGGTATCATCGATGACGATGATTTCCTTGGGCAGGCCATTCTTATAAAATTTGTTCCAGTCAGGCTCCTTTGATCGTCTTCGCTTGCGAGCGGACTGAGAGGACTGGGAGAGTGAGCTGGTGGCAGGCATGGTGGAGTTGGTGGTGAGCGAGTAGTTCGCGTCGGGACTCGAGACGTCGTGAATGGTCCTCGAACTGGCTGACGAGGCTGAAGGGCCTAGGCCATTTGGGCCGGCGTGACTCGCAGTAGAGGTGGCAGAGTAGGCAATGCTCGACGAGTTTGCGTATGCGGGAGGCAATCTCGTCGTCGCTGTGGATGAGGAAGTTGAGAGGATTGGGTTCGCTGGCTGTCGGTACGAAGAGCCGGTAGCAGTAGAGGCCTGGTACGGCTGATGTGAGTAGGGATAATGGGGATGATGGTAATGCGAATGAGGAGGCAATGTCGCTGTGGCCGTTGTGGGAGTCGACATGATTTTCCTCTTGTCTTGCCGGTGTCGAGGGAATCACCTTTGGAGACAGAGAAGAAGAGCGACGGCGGAGGGTGAGGGTGAGTGAGGGTGAGGGCGAGGAAGGAAGGTTCGATGATGGAGGGAAGGCGGAAGGAAGGTGGTTTCGCAGGCCTTCGCTGTGCCGGTGCTGGGCGCTGAGCGCTGAGGTGGGTGCTGGTGGTGCTGCTGGGTACGTAGTGCTGTCTGTACTGTACTGAGTACGTGCCCGGCTGTACTTTGGTTTTGGGGGGGGATAATGGAGGGTGGAGGGTTCCCAAATCCAAACAGTGGAGTTCGGGGTTAGTCCCAAGGTATCCGTGATCAATCCAGCCCTGAGAAGTAGGATAGAGGGAGCGTGAAAAAAGAGGGAGTGAGCGAGGGAAAGAAGAGTGCAAGCCCAGTGTTGTCGGCTTTCAGCGTTCCCTCAGCAAAGAGTGTGCGCTGTGTGCTGTGTGCGGCCCTTGGATCTGGTTACCGGAGCCAGTGGTGGACCGGTTGTGGTGGTGTCTGGGAGTGGGCTGCAGATTGACGACGTGAGTGGGTAAAAAGAGCTTTTGCGGTCTTTGCCTCTGGGCTCTGCCACGGGCGGCTTGTCGCTGCTGCGGTACGGATACCGCTAGCTAACCTTGGAGAGGGACCACAGGGTCTCCGGCCTAGATTTCCCGAGTCGTGCGCAAAGTCTGGCTGGTACGGGTACAGCGTACGAAGTGGACGGGGGTCGTCGAGGATTCGTTTGATGACAGGACGGACGGTATGGGTATGGGAGGTACTGCGGTAGGCGTATGTGTGTACTGTGCTGTGCTGTGCTGTATCCGTTGGGAGGGTCTCTTTGCTACATCGAAGAGGCTAGGACGCGACGCGAGTTTCTTTGGTTCAGAGAGTATGAAGTTCTTGCCAGGAATGATGGAAGAAGAAAGAAAGTTGGAGGGAAATCAACAGCAGGAGCAGGGTTGACTGCTGATGATGATAATGATGGGGAAAGAGCTGGAAGAAAAACAAGCCGCCGGTCGCTGTGCAGACTTCCAGAGTGCCCACGGTGGATGGGCTGGACGTTATGGTCCAAAAAAAAGTGACGAAGTTCCGAGGGATGACCGGTCGCTTCACTCTGTTGGTCCGTGGGGAGCAGTTGGTGAGGTGAGCAAAGTGGAGGGCCCTGACGGGAGGAGGCGACCAATTGTGGAGAATTGACAACCTGAGGGACGAGCACGAGAGGACAAGACAGGACGAGGGCGGCTTGGTGGTGGACACACTGTGACTTTGGGATTGCTGGACGCGGGCGATGAAGCCAAGGGGGAATGAATGAACCTGATGAGTGAGGTAAGGTAGGTGTGGGTGACGGGACTAACTGGGCGTATGGGCGTGTACTTTGGTGACTTCGGTACGGAGTAGTGTGCGTGCAACCGAGTGCGCGTGGGAGCGGAAATGGAAGCAGCCAAAGTGGGTGAGGACGACAGGCGGCGGAAGACACGAGATGGGGAAGATGGAAGGTTACGTTGGTTAAGAACCTCCGATGTGGGATACCTGTGATTACGCTGTCAAACACACGCAGGCAGAAGTACCTTTAACCAAAGGCAGGTAGTCTGGCGGCTGGCCCGCGCATTTCGGCTACTTTTGGTCAGGTTAAGGTAGGTAGGTACCCAGCCATGGAAGGTGCCTGTCACGTAGTGAGACGAGAGGCTGGTTGCCTTTCCATTTTCCTTTACTTACTCGACTCTTTTCCCCGTTCACCTCGGGAAAGGGAAAGCTGACAAGATGTATAGTCAAGAGGAGTTTTGCTCACGATTCCAACATAGTCTCCAGTTAAGCCCACTTCGAGCCAAGGCAGAAGGCGGCAAGACGGACAGGTTCCAGTCGCTTTCTCGCGCGTCGAGTCGAGTCGAGTGCAGCCCGGGACAATCAAGGGACCACTGAGTCCTGACAGGGTATGGAGGGAACCTAAGGCTGATGTGCACCGGGAAGCATAATAAATCAAGCCGGCCACTACCTATTTAACAGAGCTGCGACTGTCGGGTATTTGGTCTCTCCATCAGAATTCTGTTCGTCTCTACCGGGAAAGGTGCTAAGCCTCGCTGCATCTCATGCCTCTTCCAAATGGCTCAAGAACATTCATGTCAATTCCTTCTATAGGCCGGAGGTGGGAATGTCCAAGGTAATATCTGATATCCTTTGTGCCTTCCAGACTCTAGAGGTACAAGGTGTCCGCCTCAGCGCCTGTATTCGTACAGGTATATCGGAGGGAGTGGGAGAGTGGAGCCCGGGCGAAGCGCAGGATGGAGGTAGGTACTTGGAGACTGTGCCGTGCCACGCCTGCTTGCGCGCCTCTGTCAGATGGCGCATGTACCTTAGCTTCGGATTGACTAAGGCAGGTACTTGACAACGACTGCAGACCAATGCCATGACGCAAGTATCTTATCGTGAACGCCCACTCAGCATCATCCAAAACGTCGTTCTTGCCGCAGCGGAAGCAGTGCCGTGCAGTGCAGCACCGGATTTGTCCAATTTGATCCGACATGTGCCAGAGTCTCGATGCCGTCTTTAAGGCAGACTTTGAGGAACAAGAGCCTGGCGATGATGAGATTGGAACAGAGATGAGGTGTCCGTACCCGCGATGATGTGGCAAGGCAGAAAACTAGGGTACTTTGACAGTGTTTCCATGTTGGGTACGGAATATTGTTCCTTATCAAGCGAGATAGGGCGTGTTCCAGGTTGTTAATCTGTGCCCGCCGGATCATCAACCGTAACGTAGCGAGCGACAGTGTTTGGAGCATATGGCTCCCCTCGGAAGGGAATCTCGGGCTTGGTGCTTCGATTCAGACAGGACGAGACGGAAGGTACTTCGGTTGGCTGCAACTTGCAGGTGTTTCCGTGCTTTTAGCCTCTCGCCTACTGTACATCCGGCAGGAACAAGGGGCTTGTCGCCGATGTGAGGTACAGGGCATTTCGGTCTTGACGCACACCATATTTCCAGGGCCCCGTACTTTATTTCGGGGGGCTTTGGCGGTTCGACATTGTGGGTGGTTTCCGGCTTCTTTGTAGGTTTCATTTCCTCGCCTGCTTGAATCGTATCCAAGTTCCTAACTTGAGGTGAGATGCCTTCAGTAAGCCCTAAGGCAATTGCCATGTTGAAAATGCGAGGTAGGCACGGGATAGGTTGGTAGGTATGTGTCTTGGAGGGAAGAAAGGACGAATGCCCCGCCATTTCTGGTGAGGCAAGAACGAGAGCGGCAAGAGTAACCCCAAGTACACCTGGCCACCAAAGGTAGTTTACCGTAAGGCAGGTAGGTAAGGTGGTAGGATAGAAACCAGCGATGGCACTGTACCTACTGCGTAGAAGGACGGAAGGAGCCACGAAGGAAGGACGCTACTTCTCAAGCGGTGCTTCAATGGCGTGAATGGGACTGTCCGTCTGGCCGCATTCTAGCGTCTTTAGACTGTCATCGTCTCACGGAATATTGCTCCCACATTCTTGTCTGCCTACCTTACTTTACACAAAATGCAGTCTTGAATTCTTGATACGCCGCACCGTTTTCCAACAAAGTTATTCTGTCTCTCTTCGATACAAGCGTAAATCGGCACGCACGCACCCAGCACACTTCCAGGTGCCTATTCTTCTCTCTCTCTCTCTATTCCTCTCCAAGCTCCAAATGGGTGGCTCCCGCTGGCTCTTTCCTTTTCCAGACCAAAGACACACCACCGATAAGCCCCCGAGCCCCTCAACGACATCTTCATAACCGGGATTGTGGCATGGGAGGAATTTGCGGCATTCAAGACTCTGTCGATACCTAGTCTGAGGATCTATCCGTCTTCACGACCAACTGCTTTCATCGCTTGCCCTTTCCATTCACCCCCAAGGGACTGACCAGACATACGGCAACGGCCATGTGTCGGTATCATCTCGAAATGCACGAATACAGCATTGTACCCTTGTGGTTGTGCGCCCAAGGAACCCATGTCCGATGACTTCGCCCATGGCTTGACTTGTCACGCTCGCAAAATCAAAGACACGCCAATCCAGTGGCCGCCGACGGCTTCACGCTCGCGCTTCACCCTTCTCGCTCCTCCTCTCACCCACTTTACGCACTTGGCGGGTCGCTCTGGAGTCCGCCCTCCACCCCAACTTTGCTGCCCGCCAATGTGCCTCCACGACAATCTTCCAGACGGGTTTAGCGTCCCGCCGGCCTGGGCAAGTCGCCTCTTTCAAAGTCACGTCGTTGCACAGCAAGTGATGGCCTGCCGCTGCCACTCCGTCACTCTGTCACTCCATCACCGCATAGTCATGCCCAGCGTACCAGCCCATACTCTTTTCTCTCGCAGTTGCGTTGTACTCGATCGCTGCTTCTCAACCAGTACTTGGGTGAACAATATCACACACCTGAGCTACCATTACTAGTAGCCTGGAATGGCCGCGACTGGACTGGGCTGGATCGGCTTGGTCTGACCATCCAAACGGAGCGCACACGCGCACACCTCAACACCAGCCGCCTTCACGATGGACGGACAAACGAAAAGGTTGGATGAATGGAGCCAGTCCCCGCCAACCAGCCCCAGCCCAGTGCTACTGCTCCAAGGCGGGCAGGGCAAACCAGCGTACAACGACAGCCTGACATATCGGGGCTCCGTGCTGACAAAATAGAGAGCCCTGCACAGTTTACTTTAATTCGAGGAAACGATGCCTGGTCATCATCACGCTGGTTTGCTCCGAAATCCCATGTCCTTTGGCTGCTGCAATACGTCAGAAGGATCCAGTACTGCAGACCGGATGAGTCCCCTAAATGGATCCTGGTACCGGCTTTAAACTTCACCTCGTCTCGCCATGACCGATTATTCTGGTACTTCTGATCGCCTCCTCGTCCGCAGCTACAACCACTCTGGTTGTTCTTGCGTCTTGAATATTGCATCACCTTATGGCATGGCACCGGAAACTTCAGCAACCTAGTTACCGCCGGCTGGCGGTTGGCGGCGTTGAGCATCAGTCCAAACACGGCCCAAAAGCATGATCCTCACATTCCACACAGCCGCCCAAGATCTGATCGCGCCGAAAAAGCTAATGGAAACAATGATCCGTAGCAAGATGCACAGTGAAGGAAAGACAACAAACGCTTCAGCATGGAGCCACGGAAATGGAAGCGTTTGACCTACTTATTCAGCCAGCCAGCACTGGCCGCCTTCTTTGGCTTGAAATCCCTATGGATACCGCTGCTTTTGATCTGATCCCACCGTCTCCTCTATGGCAACCCAACAGTGCACACTGGCAGCGCAATCACCGGCGAATCTCCAAGCACTTCTTAGTGTCCACATCCCTGCTTCCCGTCCAAAGGTGCGCCAATGGGGTTTTCGAGGAGCGACACCTTCTCTCCCTATCGACCAACCATGGGTGCAGTTTACAACGCGGTGGGGAGAGGAGGCAAAGGGTCGCAGCCATCGCGACGCTTGTGAGGAGGCTCGGAGGCAGTGAGGAATACCCGACTTGAGCGTAAAGAGGCGGGAGGCTTGTGAACGTCTTCTTCGAGGTTTATTGGGAGACCAGGTTATCAGCACAGAGAAGGGCAGGGCGGAGCGGAGAGAGGGAAATCTGTGCTGTCACCGGCCCCTCTCTCCGACCAACATCATGCCTGCACACGCAACTGCACCTCAAGAGTCAAGGCTCAGTGGTCACAGATTCGTCGATCTTTACCACACTGCAGAATTCCCAAATGGAAAATGTAAAGCTGAACTCGACATCCACGATCTAAGTCACACGTTTTTTTAATCGTTGCCACGACCAAAACTCGACAGCTTGGAGAGACTTTTGAGAGAAAACCGGCCCACCGTCGCAACGACCTCCGCGCGTGTCTTCGCGGTGTGCCTGTCCGGTACGTGGCGTAAAGTGCCTGCATGACTCCAGGATACTGAGCCCGTGGCAACCGAGACTAGACAAGCATAAGCCCAGAAGGGGTGCCTCGCCGCGAAACATTGGTGATGAGAGGCCCAGGACAATCGGCCTATATTTCCCCTCATTAAGATCATTCAACGTTTTGATGGGGGGTTGTCCGGCCGTCCTGTCAAGACAAGCGATGCTGGGTGATGGTTTGGGTGATGGTATAATCGTGCCAGCACGAGCAGAGAAGCATCTGCACCCGACCTGAATAGCAAGTTGGGACACTTCTCTCGGTCTCGACGCTCTCAAACCATGCATTATCCCAGGCAGAGCGTGCTGCTGCCACCTGCCACCACTGACGGCTAAAAAGTTTCAGTTCTTTGAACGCAAACATACCGTCGGGCCACTGAGCTTTCTTCTTCCTTCTTCCCAGAGCCTGTGAACCGTGCTTGCGTCGCAGGTACGCTCGTCTCCCCCCCTTTGCATGCACGTAATCGGGGGACGAAATGTCACCCGGGGGCTGCAGATGGCTTTCGGAGGGGGCTCGCGGAGAAACCATGAATAATAATCAAGAGGACAGCTTTGATAAAACCATGAAATCTCGCACTATCCTGAACATTCTGTCTCATCATAAAGTAGATGAGGAGGAGCTACACTGGAGAGATGTCGGATGACAAGCGCCGGGAACCTCATCGTCCGAGGCCAGGAAACAGACTGAGGAAACTAGGACACAACAGTTGTTGATATGCTGATTTTACCCCTACACTCAGCATAAGGGGATTTCCATGACTTCCATGATTCCCAGACCTCTCGCCCTTATCAAACTCACTACGAAGAAACAGTAGCAAAAGCTATCAGAAGTTTGACATGTGCCGCCCTCGATGGACTAGAATTAACGGGACCGAACTGTCTTGGTTTTGTCTACACGGAGCCTGAGCCAGCCTCGAGAAGATGGTAAGTAAGCAAACCCCGCTGATTCCGTCCGTCATCCCACCACCCCTCCTTCTTGGTTTCCCCGTTGGTGGCGATTCTAAGGCCAAGTGCGCACTTTGTCCCGTCCTCGAATTGTCGAGGTGGTGGTGTCGTCGTGCCTGTCGAGGCACACAAGCACATAAGCGGCTTGGTCCGTGATACGTTTGTTAAAGCAGGTGGTTTGGCTGCGGGCTTGTCGTCATGAATTGTGCAACGTTATTCTTGTCGTTTCCCAGAGGATTTGTTGTGGCGGGAACAATGTCGAGAGATGCGATGCTTTGCTCACAGTCATATACCGCCTCGCATACTATTCAAAATTTCCAAGCACGATTCTGTTCCACTAATTTTGGACAACACAGGAATATCACGAGGGGTTTTTTGCCGTGACGTATCTAAAGTTCTTTCTCTTAATCGCGGGATGATTTCTGCCCTACCTGGCTAACAAGCAAAGTCTCTACGCGTTCCCTCCCTGAATATGCTACGTATCCGTATAAACATCTAGCCCACGGCCATTGGATTACAGCTGATGGCCTAGCTTTCTGCGGTTTTCCACCACGGTTCAGAAAGATTTTGGAAGGGGGTGGTGGAATCACCGAAAAATAACCGTGGTGTTTTTTGCCAAGAATGACTTTGTAGCTGCGTGAAACGCTTTCAACGTCCGATCTGATACCGGGTTCTCTATCCCATATTACGCTCGTCTGGGGGAGTGGTTGGACGGAGACATTGCTCTCCTTTTTCTTTGAGTCTTTGCCCCCCCAGATTGACGGGTGCGATTGCGACAGACATGTCAGGGCAGGTAGACGGTATCATGGGGTAAGGTTAGGCAGGAAAAGCTGCTTCGGCAAGACTTGCCTTTGCCTGTATCGCGCAGACAACGAGAAACATCCGCGTTTCGTGACGTTCCCGTCTGCCCACCCGCTCATGCTTTTGAATTTCTTCCTGCGCTCAATGGGAATTTCGCTTTGGGATGCCTTTTGTATTCCAGCTTCCAGCTTCGGTATAGTAGCAAAATGGAAACAATGCAAGAGAGAGAGGGTATAGACAGATATCTAGATACCCCTGTTAAACACAACGAGACCGCCCTCGCCGCCGCGTCCGTGGAACTCGGGCTCGAGCTTGTCCGCGCTGATGCTCTGTCGCTGAGGGAATACGGCCAGGGCGAGCGGGAGGACGGCGTAGCTGGTCACGAGGATGAGGCCGAGGTTGACGGGCACGGTGAGGCGGGGCCGCTGCTTGAGCCACTGCTGGGCCTGCAGGCGGACGAGGACGAGAGGGGGGATGACCATGATGGGCGTGGAGTTGAAGACGCGGGAGCAGGCCGTCTCGCCGACGGCGATTTGGGCCGCCTTTTTGCTGCGGCCGAGGGATTGGGGTTGTTGGCTGGTGGCAGCGGCGGCGCCTTCGACAGCCTGTTGTTCCTTGGTCTCGGCGGCCTGCGTCTTCTCCGCGACGACGGGGAAGACGTCGATGCCCTTGCGCATCTCCTCGCCGCGCATGAGGAGGACGTTGAGGAAGCCGGCCGAGGCGACGGCGGCGAAGGGGACGAGGCGGGTGAGCGTCGTGCGGGTCGCGGGGGTGAGGTTCTTGAGCCGGGGCACGAGCTTGTTGAGGCCGACGGCTACACCGCAGGAGACGGAGACGGCCATTGCGTAGGACTCGCCGAGCTTGCGCCAGGATAAGGGGGAGGACTTGTTTGCGTTTGCCGAGTTGATGGCCACGTTGAGGGACTGGTTTACGACTTGCCATGCGATTGTGCCTGCTGTCTATTTGTAGAACTTGTGTTAGGACTGCCACTGTCCTTCCTTCCTCTTCTTCTCGGGGTTCAACTCACTCCGAGACCGGGCTGGAGTATGCCAGCTGTGACGATCAAGTTGGTCAGGACGAAGGCGGACATGCGGAAGGGGAGAAAGACGGGTTCGGCGGTGTCTACACGGGGTGAGGTGCGCGAGTGCGCCGCGTGTTAGTCACCGGGGTACCGGGGGAGAAGAAGAAGCAAACAAGCAACGAGCCCTTTGTCGCAAAGAGGCAGGGTAGTTTTTGTTCTTATGGGCTCGTCGCACCTGGGTGGAGGGTCGAGTCGACGACCTTTTTGGCCTGCCAGAGCTCGGGGGTCATTGTCGGGATCTTGCCCTGCTTGTAGTCGGTGAGGAGGGACTTTGCTTGCTCGAGACCGGTGCTGCCGACGAGGAGGGTGCTGTTGGTTGGGGAGACATGTTAGTAGATTGTCTTGGTTCTATGGTGGTAGAAGCATTGGTCGGGGTAGAGGAAGAAAGCTTGTGTGGTGGTGGTTGTGGTATTGGGACAAACGCGCGCAAGGAGTCACGATCGTGACGATGCGATGCGATGCGCGACTGAGAGTGGGGGTATGAACGTACCTTGGGTCGGTGAGGCCCAGGTTGTGCCGTACGCGGCCCATGTATGTGCTGAGATCATACTGCGAGGCGGGCAGCTCGCGGCTGCCGGGGAGGGAGGCCGACATATCGGGCGTGAAGTTCGAGGTGTGTTTTGGTGGTGAAGCAATTTGAGAAGCAACGGGGATCGTCGCGAAGCTTTCTTTGTCCGTCTCTCCCGCAATTGAGAGCTCTCCTCGGGGGTAAATATGTCCCAATAGGCACAAGTGAGGGGTAAATCGAATGCAATGCAATGCCACGCGACCAAAGAAGGCGGGAGCGGTGCCGAGGGACGCTGGTGGTACGGCGGTTTTGGGGGAGGGGAAGAAGGTGATTGCGGTGTGAGTGAGGGTTCTCGTGGGATTTGTATTGGGTTTGGTGGTTTTTTTGATAGCAGGGACGGATAGGATGGGCTATCGTCGGGTGAGCTCCCGAGATCGGTGGGATTTGGGGGAAAAGACAGGCACGACAGGTCCCCAGAGGCCCAGAGGTAGGTTATCCGAGAGAATTGATTGGCTGACGGAGCTTGGACCCTGAACTTCGTTGCAGCTGGCGGCGGGTGGACGCGGGCCCAGGCTGTCGCAGTAGGGCGTTGTTGTCACTGCAAGGCGTTGGATGGCCTGTCGATGACAGACCGACGGCTTCTGACGGTGCAGCCAATTGCTGACGGTACAACTCGGTGGAATAGACGGACGATGAAGAAGTAGAAGTGATGAGGATCAAAAAATATTGTTTTTTTTAGTCTTCACGAAAGTGACTGCCCATGCCGGAAGCAGTCTACAAAAAGAAAGCAAAAAGAGCAACAGGAACACAGGTGTGCGAACCGATGAAAAAGTCAAAAGATCAGACCGACCTACGTAGGGATCGAACCTACAATCTTCACAGAGAGACTAAGGAGCCGAAATGTGACGCGATGCCATTTCGCCAGCAGGCCTGGTTGGGAAAATGGGGAAATTTGGCGATCTATGTAGGGCGGTCAGTAAGGTGGTCAGTGCGTCGTCGAGTGATGGCGGGGAAACTTGCCACTGCGGGGAAGTGTCGAACTCGCCTGGGTTACGACTTGTAACTCGTGAGTGCCTTCTCCGTCCCGTCTTCGGCCTGAAGCGGCCGGGCGGCGTGCCGATGCAAGGTCGGGACGGTTTGTCGTGCGGGGGGTCGTTGAGGGTCGCGCATTTCTTTACGTTTTCTGCTCTTGAAGAGTTAGGCCACTCCAATCTCAAGTCTGGTTCCAGTTCTCAAAAAGGCTCAGTCAGGTCCCATGTTGATTCTGTCAGCTGAGCAACAGTTTCCTGTTCCTTTCTTCCCTCTTTACGGTCGTGCTTATCTAGTCTCAAGAAGAGAAGACATTGTAGCAACGTTGGTAACGTGATAAGTGGGGGAGTCCATATCTCAAATCGTCTAGATGTACCACCTGGAAACGTATTGTTTGTTGTGTCCACGGAGAACTCTCTCACATATCGGTGGAGCTCGCATCAGACACCAGGATCAAGTAGGCCACGAAGGAAATCAAGCATGCAGTATCACAAGCAGGAAGCTGAAAGGAAGTATCAAATTGTTGGCGCGGCGAATCAAACACTTACAACTACTCATAATTTTGAGCATCCAGATAACTGAGGATTCCCCTGCTCCGATTAAACATTGGATCCTAACGATGCAGTCTGGTTTACAGCCAGATCGGCCATTACTTGAACTATGAGTAATATAGTACGAACGCCAATATGTTCATCAAAGGCTTTGGGTCTCGAAATCATCTCTCTCAAGTGTACACCGAAAGGCTTGATACTGTCATATGATACTCGAACTCACAGCCCGAGGTCAAGGACTGAAGCTCTGGGTATTAAGTGTTAATCATTGTGTTATCTCACACATCATATCATCACAGACACCTCATTACAACGTGGTCCGAACCTGGCGACACTTGCTCCCGTGCTCCCCAATAATCTCCGCGGCCTGGAGGGCCATGGCGTACATGGCCACCTGTAGGTTAGCCGAGATGGAAACCGGAAAGATGGAGGAGTCGGCGACGAAAAGCCCGTCAACGCCCTTGACGCTGAGGTCCGTGTTGACAACCTTGCCCATGGACGCCGTTCCGCTGGGATGGAAGCATGATCTGGATCCAACTATCAGTCCCGACTTTCTAGCAAATTGTGATAGGAACTCTTTCGGGGGAGAAGGAACTTACCCTGCAACCTGACGGGCGCGCGTGGCGAACGCCTCGTCAGGGGAATCCACCGTCAGAGGCGTGTCAGCCGTGAGCTCGCCGTCAAGGATCTCACGACCGACGGGCGTCAGATCGCTCCCGAGAAGCTGGGTATCAAACTTGAGAGCTTCCCGCACGGCGTACCTGTCCACCGCCGTGCTGAGATAGTTCGGGTCGATGACGGGCGGGTCACTGACGTTGGCCGACGAGATGCCTACCGAGCCCCTCGAGGTATCGATCAGCACGATGGACAGCATGAGAACAGCAGAACCATCGGTCGAGGCGCCGTTGTACTGCAGCGTGTGGGAGACGTGCGCGCGATCCTGGCGGAGGAGAGGATGCTCCGGGCCCGGCGCAACGCCCTCGTCCTCGGCGATGGCCGCCGCCAGGCCTTCCTTAGGCAGGGTGACTGTGGCGAGGAAGTCGATCTTGTTGCCGAGGCCGTACTGGGGTTCTTTGAAGAGCGGGTTGTCCGACTCGTAGGCCCAGCCCTCGGAGGGGTTCTTGACCTTCCACGCCGTGGGCATGAGGATGTGGTCGTGCATGTTCTTGCCGACCTCGGGCTGGTCGAGCTTCACCTCGATGCCGTGCTCCGTTAGGACGTTGGCGGGACCGATGCCCGAGAGCATGAGGAGTTGCGGGGTGCGGTAAGCGCCGGCTGAGAGGATCGTCTTGCGGCTATGGTACTCTGTTCCGTTTTGCAGGCGGATGCCCTTGGCTGTGACGGCGGTGCTATTGGGGCTCTTGGACACGAGGATGTTCTCGACCATTGTGTTGGTGATGACGGTGACGCCGTCCAGATGGAAGGCTTCCGAGGAGAGCTGTCTGCGCCCTTGGTTGCGGTTCTCCTGGAGGTCTCCGTAGCCTATGGGGTTCCCGGCGTTCGCGTCGAGCTGGGGCAGCGCCGAGATACCGAGGGCTTCGAGGGACTCGGCCAGCTTCTCTCGCATGGGGAAGTGCCGGTTCATGGGCGTGACGCCCTGGATGATCATGGAACCGTTCTCTCCGTGCTGGGAGGGGTTGATGCTGGCGTCGAAGAACTTCTCCGTCAGCTTCATGTAGGGAAGCTGGCCCTCGTAGCTCCATCGATCGTCGCCGACCTCTTCGGCCCAGAGGTCATAATCGACAGTATGACCACGGACCCAGGCAGCTAAGATGAGCCATGGTTAATGAAATGTGTTGGAGAGTGGGTGTTAGTCATCATTTACCTCCATTGATGGCCGTTCCTCCACCGAGGGCCTTGCCAGCGGGCGCAGCAATTAATCTATTGTCTACGTTGGCTTGCGGAACCGACGTATAAGCCCAGTCAATGTCGCTTCCGGCACCAGTACTGGTGTTTGGGTACGCGATAGACTCGAGACCATTGACATTGGGCCCAGCTTCAACCAGCAGTATCTTCAAGGTCGGATCTTTGTGGAGGAGCCTGTTGGATATGACGGAGCCGGCAAGGCCGCCGCCGACAACGATGAAATCCCACAATGACATGGCTTAGACAGAAAGCTGAGTGCCTAAAAGAATGACTGGCTGACTTGAGTGACAAGTTGGCAGGGAGCTGCGAAGACAAGAATTGACAGAGCCGTGGTTACTCCTTATACGAGGCAGGATCTCATTACACCTCCGGCGATAACATTGATACCTTCTCTTTAGTCCGACGGAATGCAGTTCGGGCCCGTTGACAGCCCGTCTTGCGGTTTGTTGTCGCGCCACATGCCAGGTATTATCGAATCTAGAGCTTCGGATGCAAGGACCCCAGTCGAGGGTGCGTAGACGCTTTAGACAACCAACAGACCGTCTGGGGTCTGAAGGAGGCAAACATCCACGTTGTGGACGGTCGTTGGAACATAGTTGCATCAAAACACGCACTAATGGCCCCGGAAGAGGAGCGCTCATCGGCTCGATGCAGACTTAGATGAAGGACCCGCACTCCGGGGCTGTTCCGGCCTTTTGCGGACCCGGACGAAGTTCCCAAAAGATCATGGTCCTATCCCGGGTATCGGACAGTCTTATAACCCAATCGACCGAGCTGAGATCGCAAACCCCTGGAGACTGAGCGGCATCCCGCTCGCTGTGCCGCGTCTTCGCATCAACTTGGCACGCCGCACAGCCTTTGCAGACTTTTCTCAGCAGCATGAGAAATTCCCGGGCGTGATGCACAATGTAATAACAGACTTAAGTCGTTTGAGGGTTACACTGCTAGATGACTATGGCCACGCGGCAACATCACAGAAAATCGATATATTGTGGACTTGAGAAACATATTTCACTCAAGAGATATACTCGCACAGCTACGGACGTGTCTCTCCCGCATCAAGTAACGCGGACTCTGCCAACCGATGGACATATCCAAGTCCCACAGAATCCTGCGTGATAATCCACCAACCTGGTTCTTTGATGCCTGTAGCAACCAACAACCAACGACATGCAGCATGGGTAAAGCAAACAAACCTCCAACACGATAATCACAAATTACATGATCTTTTGACAAGGGTTATCACCAGATTTTGCAGCTCGTTTGCGCTATGCGGACCAATCGAATGGCGATGGTTGCATGCTTTCCATCGGGAAACAGGAAGACCCGATATATCTCATGCAAATGAGGCCATATGCTCACATTTCCAGAAGCCAGGTATCTCGATTTCGCCGACGGCGCAAGATATGAGCATCGGAAGTACATGCGACATGCAGCAGCTTGCACTTGAAGAAAACCGCTGCAGATGTGGCAGCGGATCAAAACTCCTTGAGATGTGTAGGAGAAGCTTGTCGCATTCACTCGCAGGTATTTCCGTTTTGGAGCATCGCTCGTGTTGTTGCAGGGGCTCAGAATCAAGGCCACTTGGAAAGTTGGGATACCTCTCCCCGGCTATCCTTGACTTTACCACACACCTTTGTTCGTCCAGGTTTGAAAGATGGCTGTTCCTAACAGATTTCCATCCTCTCCAGCCTACAAGTCCAGCTTCAAGTGCCTTTGAGGCCAGACTTTCCACATCTTGCTGTTTCCTCTCATCTTCCTCTCTTTGCCGTCAGCCATGGAGAGCCCAAATACCCTCAGAGTTCGTCAGGCTGGTGGCACAACACCGGCTCCAGCCATCACCCATGACAAGTTTCCACCTCTCACGTCGTCGGGGGCCGCTCTCGTTGCCACGGCGTCGGTGATGCTCTCCTTGACCACATGCTGGACCATCTTCCGCGTCTGGGCTCGGAAGATCACGAAGGTTCCCTACTTGACCGAAGACTATCTTTACTTCACAGCTCAGGTACTTATGAGGCACGTTGAGACAGTCCTTCAGCACTAACTAGTGTTGAGTTGCTATTCTATGGTGCGGCAGCATGCTTCATTCTAGGTATGTAGGGATTCCCTGCAACGCTCAAGTAGGCGATGAGAGCGCGGAAACTGACTTTGATGTTACGAACCGAAGCTGTAGTAGTAGGTGGCGCAGGCCATGATGTATGGAATCTCAGCGATGAGCACAAGTACCACTACTTTCGAATATCGCTCGCCACACAAGTCCTCTACGCCGCGGCCTTGGGCTTCGTCAAGCTCAGCATCACTTGGATGCTCCAACGCATATTCTTTGGCCACTCGACGAATTTCAGGCTCTTCGCCTGGATCGCCATGGCTCTGTCAGTATGCTGGGCTTTGTATACGGCTCTGATAGGATTTCTCATCTGCCAGCCTGTACAGATGGCGTGGGATCCGAGCGTGCGAGGAATCTGCGGCAACCATACCACGGCGTATTCTGCGGTAGCGATCTTTGACATCATCACTGATATCATTATTGTCGGGCTCCCGATCAAGTTTGTTGCCCAGCTGCAGGTTCGGAGAGCTCACAAGATTGCCCTGTATGGAGTATTCTGCGCCGGTTTCATGTAAGTCATCTGTCGGCAGTTCCCTTTCTTCACGGTGATCAGCAAACAACACAAATTGGCTGGCAAATCCCTTTGTAAATGATGAATGCAAGCTGATCATCTTATCACACTCGATAGAACGGTTGTCTTCTCCTGTGTGCGACTCTACTATGCTTACAACATCGACTTCATCAACGTCACCAAAGGCTTCGCCATAGCCAGCGTCAGCGGTGTCTTGCAAGCCGGTATCGCTGTCATTGTGGCATCCAGCCCAATGCTCCGTCCCGTCTTCGATCGTACGGTAGGCCGAGTGCTGGGTCTCAGCCTACAAAGTCAACGACGCGGCAACGGCGCGACTTCGAATGCGACTGACGGCAATACCACTGGGAATAGTGCGGCTGGGCTACAGAATAAACACAGCGCTCGATCCGACGGCTTCAAGCAGATGTCGGAAAGCGAAGAGCATCTGGCGTGGGAGTTGAGGCACATGAAGTCCGCAGCAGGTCGAGATAGCTACAATATGGGGACCACCACAACTCAGGTCAATGCGGAAAGGAGCTCGGATGACAGTACGGGTGAAGAGCGAGAAGTTATGGATGGCCCGCAGACTGGGAGAATCATGGTCACCAAAACAACCGTAGTCAGTCGCTAGGTTGAGACGTAAACATGCTCGCATTGTCGATAGGGATGAGCGTCTATTGTCCAGTGGAGGCGCATCGAGCAACTAGAGACCTGAAAGAGGAAAGTGAAGTCGCATAACGAATTGCATCTGTTCAGAATTTCGTGTACCTCCTTAGTCTCTTGCTGTCGACTTGACAACCACTTCCGACTTCACCCAGACGTGTATATTTTGCTTCCCCGCCTTTCCCTCTTCACTGGAATACCTTTCGATGTCCACGTTCCGCCCCTGGCCGTAACGATCATCCGGACCCAGTATTGAATCCACGCTCTCGTTGTCGCCGAAGCCCTTTCCACCAGACCTCGTCCCGCTTCCGAATCGTCCCTCGCCGCTTCGACCCGCGAGGCTTCCCAAGTCCAAGTCTGGCGTCTTCAACCCGACTCTGACAGTGTAGTCGGTGCCGCCGATCGTCTTCAAACCGAACCCCAAGTTGGATCCGGTCATGTCTCTAGTGTATGGTCCAGGCCTACTGCCGTTTCGGGATGACCACTTGCTGAGCCAACCCTTGAAGAGGGGGCGGCACACGGGGATTCCAATGCAGACGAGAGTTACTGCCAGTTCTGCCGCATGCCATATTATCAAGGCAACCGTGTCCTCTGTTGGGTGTTCATGTCAACGATGAGTTCATGCAATGATACATGGTGTTGACCACAGGAAATACAGGTCTGAGATCTATGGAAGAGTGACTTACTGGTGAAGTTCACACTACTCAGATTTTTGAGCTGCAAAGCTCTCAGAATCCCGCATGCGCCAGCACTATCATGGCTGTTAACTTCACGTCACTCAAGCATGCCGATGTCGAAGGTGCATGCCTTCAATAGCGCGGGCAGAACTCACATGACGCCCAAACTCATGCTCAGATTGATGAGCAACTTCTCTCTCTTCGGCATCTGAACGTTCCACAGTAGTGCCCACGGCGTAATGGCATACCAAAAGTCGACGACGACGCTCCAAGCCCCCGCAACCGTTGATATGGGACCGGGGTCGATAGGGCAGCTTCCGTCGGGGATCAGCCGGTCCCACAGGAAGTTGATCGGCGTACAGGAGAACCAGAAGACGAGAAGAGAGGCCAAGGCGATGAGGAATAGAATGACGACGGGGGCGATGACGAGGATCTGGTGCAGCCGAGTGTTCACAAGGCGGAGGAGGAACAGTGCTAGAGAGGCTTTGGAGACGACGATGGCTGATACGAGGATTGTGCTGCCGATTGCCTCGTGCAAGATCGCTTTTGGCACGTTTTCCATCTCAAGTTCTAGGATATTCCTGCCAAAGCCGTAGAAGGAGGAAATTGTGAGCATGACATCGTAGGCGACGAAGAGGAACTGAGTATGAAAGTGTCAGTCAAGGTCTGCGATACAATTGTGTTTGATTGTCTGTAAACCAGGGCACTCACGAAAGCGAGGTTGAAGAAGTGGTCGTCCACGCCGTAGGCTTGAAGGATGACAAGACGAGTATACAATCGCAGCAGCACGAAGAAAAAAGCAAGACCCGTCAAGCCCCAAAGAACGGCCAGCGCCATGGGCGCATCGCCGCCTGGTCCTATCATGATTTTCGGATCCGTCTTGCGTCGATCTTGCAATCGAGACAAACGTGGAAAGACAAAAAAGACGACAAACACGGGATCCAGGCGGGATCCGGTTTGGGGCACCCGACAATTAAAGGTTCCGATTCATCTCCCTAAATCTTGTTCTCCTCCACGAGTCAATTTTAACGGGGACCAGCGATTGGTGGTAGCGAATCTGGAGAGGTCGCAAGGAGGGTCGGAGTCTTTGAGGTCCTGGCTTGAAGGATTCGGAACTTGGCAGTTGAATGGGCCTCATCTTTTCGAGTCCCGGCGAGGCCCCTGGGCGAGACGACTTGACAGGTCGATCATTGACCGAAACAAGACATCGGGAGGCTTATTGTGGATGGATTCTGCGGCGTACCCATGGCTTAGTTCAAACGAAGGGCAGAGGAGATCGTCACTATCCACAAGGGGGCCATAACAGCTAGGTCCACAGCCACGTCAAAGCACGCACGCGGTAACTGGGTTTTGTCCAACAGGAGTTCTCGTAAAGGCGCGCTAGAACCATAATTGTTCCAACGGCCATCAACGATTTCTCCACCCATCGCGATTTCGTCAACGTTTCCGCTGGCCACGCGAGGAAAGGGGAGTTAGAGACCCATCAACTTACGACTGATGCGAACGTGCAGCTAAACATAGGACCGGTCGGCATGTCATCACAGTGTACGGACGAAGAACGCTGAGACTCGGACTGTGGACCGCAACTCGTGGTCAGGTTACACCGCAAATGCTGGGCTTTCAGGGGCAGTCCAGGCATGAGGTCTGCTGGCCCCCATCATGATCCGGAGCCAGGAACAGTTGTGTCGAATGTTGCATCGTCTGAACTCGCGTAAGCATAACAAGGATGACTATGAGCTACTGGTTGTTAGTGCATCTTGGTCAGGCTTCCTAATTCTCCGAACACAGCATTTGCAAATGCCGATGGAAAGCATCGAGCTAGTGTAGAACGAAGCCAACCATCAGAAATAAGTAGTATCACCATTGTTCGAGACCATCTCTAGAGCAAAGTCTGAATAGACCGTAAGAGATGGTTGCCTCAAATCATGTCTTTAGTCTCCCACACACCCGGAGCTGGAAGCCCTATTCGGCCGCGCTGCTCCGAAAGCGACGTGCCTAGTCGGTGTGACCCGTAGCCGCCACTGTCAACCACTCAAGTTGTTGCCTACCAGACCGAGATGCGACTGGGAGGCGATCCGGTTTGCGACGAGGAGGTCCGAGAGCGAGTCTACGGCCCGCTGCCGTGTTTCCTCGGACCCCACAGACTGGTGAATGTTCCTGAATTTCTGCCCTTTTCCCCGGCCTTATCCATGTAAATGTTGTCGAAGGGCATCATTTTTTCGGATGGCAAGTACTTTATCTACAACCGACATGCTATAGGCACAGGTGCTTTATGACCTCTCAAAGGCCTTTTGTTAGTGCTGATTCGAAGGGTAGCATGATACTCGCATATCACTACGTATATCACAGCAATTGCCGAAGGGTGCATTGCAATCTCCGCAGCGAAGATATGGTGTACCGCATTTGAACCCCAGCCTACCCAATCCTTCAGCAGTATTCGCTAATTGCATGGACGGAGCCAGGATCCTCATCCAAGACAACACCCATGCATCCTGTCGCAGTCACCTGTCTCTCATAACAATGCTGCTCCTGCCGAGCACGCACGTGGCACATCTCCTTCTTTCTATTATCAATGTGATCTCGGTACAAATGGACTTCTGTGGTTTACTGATCGGGAGGCAAGACTATATGCGCTGGGCCGTAGTATTGATACGCGTGAATGCATTGCCTGAGGCATACGACGAGCCACACCGTGAGGATCAAGCCTTTTCATATTTCCAATCCCGAGCTACTAATATCCGCCTGTCGCTAAAACAGTGTTGAAATTGACGACCACAAAATGACGGTACTTCATCGTCACGAAAGTGCAATCTTTCCTAGAGCATTTGCCGAGTCTTCTTATGGCTCTAGAAAGTTGCGCGTCCTTCCACTAGACTTGCTGAAACTCGATGTTGACCTTATTTACCCCCTTTGAGGTGTCGACAATTTCTGCCCATGCCGTGGTTGAAAGATGCATGGTAGCATCAGCTGACTTTTTGCCGACGGGGTTGTTGGAAAAGTCGACTACTTTGACCTGAATCGTACTCGATTTGCAGGCGCGCGGAAGCGAACTGATACACCGCACTAGATACTGCCTTCCACATGCCGCCCCATTGTCCCAAAGTCCGTCACCAACAGAAACGAATAAGTTGCTGGAAGGGAATTGATCCTGGCTGTTGCCGTTACATCTGGTTGGTAAATAGGGTACGGACCAAGAACCAGCAGTGCCGACATCAGCGCTGGCAAGTGGAGCTAAGATGCTGAGCAACAATGAAAATCTCATATTGCTATGGAAAGATGTTGTGAGTACCAGTGTACGAGATAGGGCGCAGGAACTCTTACAAAGAGCAAAGGGCCTGTTCCACAGAACAGTTTTGATCTCGACAGTATTCTGTAGTCTGTAGTTTGGCAATGAACTAAGGTGGTGAGCCAGTATTTATGGTTGGATCTCCTCCGTGGCTGTGAAATATCTTCCCAGGGACTTACTTTACCTTTTCCATCATTTCTCTGTACGGAGTAGTTGCGCCGTCCAACTAATCAAGCCATGCGGGTTACTCACACTGTTACGGAGTAATCCAAGATTAAATGTTGACACATCAATCGAAATAGATGCCCATACCAAACATTAAAAACGAAATTGTAATTTGAATAAGTTACCCAAAAAAGTTTATTTCCTGCCGGTGAGAGGAATTGCCTAAGGTGTCATGGAAAGGCGAATTTACGGTAAACATGAACCCGAGTTAATTTAAGCAGTTTACTTCTTTTGACGAAGCAAGGTATTACTACCAGTTGAAAGAACCTTGTTGCGGGCAAGGTAGACAATTATGGTCATGGGTCTTGAATCGCGTCAAAACTATGATAACATGCCAAACTTGTTGCCGAGTCGCGACATAGAGACACCGTAATAATTGAAACGAGCTAAAGCCCGAAGTTCGTAGATGAGAATGGAGCCATGGACAGACATCATGTTGTTCAAAACACACTTCGGATTCGTGAAGCCAAATATATAGGTTTATCAATCTACCTTACTTTAGTCACTAAGTATTGTTATGTAGCCAACGAGATCGTTGCGAAGCTCATGGCATGAAGCTAAACGACAAATAGCCCTCTCAAACTACTTTAGGTCTTTAATAGCTCAGTAATAGGTTCTGCTGATTGCACCTTGAAATTCGTGGGCCCGGTTCTCAGTGGCTTAGTAGCCCCAGTGATTAGACTCAAGCCAACCTGAACCCCCTGAACAAGAACATTGCGCAAGCTATCGCAATGAATGCAACAAGCAACTTCAAGAACATTAAAATTGGGTTTGTGCATCGGTGTGAGAGTTGACCCAAGCACCTGGACCGGGGCTCAGGAGACACACGCTCAGAAAATGCCAAGCCGCTCTCCAGCATTGCCATTTTCCTCTCCATACCCATCCGATACTCTTCATCAGCCGCCCTGTCAGCCTCCAAAGTCGACTGACTGCTCGTGTCTGGCGATCCGAACCTCTCATCGACTTGAGGGTTGCTGAGTGTGGCATTCGAGTCCAGCACAAACACTTCGTTGGCAAAGAAGTCGCGCACTCCATCCTCCCACTTTGCCTTTTGCGCATAATAGTTGATCAACTTGATGGACTTGTCGATGGCGTCTCGGGCGCCAATGATGTGGTTAAAGGAGTCGAGGTCCCTAGGGCTTCGGGGTTGCTTGGACTCATCATAGTGCGCATGACGCTTGGATTGGCCAGAATAGGTGTGGAAGGTGATGATGGGCCCTAGTCTGGCAAACTTGCCGGGCTTGAACCTGAAGAAGCCTGTGACGGGTAAGTCAGCGCGAGATATCGGCATATGGCTCGTGGGGATCTCACCTTCGCTATCTCTGCCATCCAGATCTCCTGGGTTGGACAGGCGACGCAGCGTGTGCCCTACCGCGTACGAATCTTGAACCATGTGTAGACAGTGCCCAAAGGCGCGCTTGGAGATGTTCGCCTTCCGGTAAGAAGGCGTTCTGCCCAAGAACAGCTGTCTCAGGCTTGCGTCTCCAGAGGGATCAGAGTAACTGGAGAAACGGGTCGGGAATCGGCCAGCAAGGCTGTCAGTCTCCTTCACATCCTGAACACCGATCGCGAGCTTGTAGATGATTTCCAACCAAGAAAGCATGTTTGCCTTGGTGTCGTGCGGATCTTCGTTCGACTGGGCGGCCATTGCGTGGAAGAATTGCAAGTCTCCAAAGTGACTCCTCTGTGTGAGACTGCTGGGAGAGCCGGCGTAGAAGTCTCCTAGAAACTTTTCACCCAGTGCCAGCTCGCTGTTGCTCTCTCTAGAGTCTTCGAATAACAGACATAGCGGGTCATCGTTCCAAAGGAGACCACGCATGTACTCCCATTGGGTGGCGTCGAGATTGTTGTACTCGGTTCCCTTAGGAAAGCGCATCCTGGATGCGATGAAGGCGGCGATGGCAATGTCTTCATGAACTGGGTCTCGAATCTTGATGCCAAGTGGGCCATTGAAACCAATTTCGAAGGCTGCGTGAACGTCACTGTTGGTCTCGTCGGATGAGTTGGCGTCATCAAACATTTCGTTTGCCGAATTCTCGGCCAAGTAGACCTCAACATGGCCTGAAAAGTTTGTTAACAATGAGAGAGACGTCGCGGACCCGGAGACTGAAGTAATACCTGTAAAGGGGTGGCCGGTAAGGTTGTAGTCCAGCACTTGGCAAGATACCAACTTGGGATTGCTCGACTTCGTCCGCAGATAGTTGTCGTTCCATCTGCCATAAGGATCACAGAACTCTACTTTGAATGAGAGGGCATTATCAGGATCAGAAGGGTGGTACAGCTCGTACACGACCTCTCCCTGGCTGCCCGAGAATCCTACATTGCATTATCAGCTCTCAATCATTGCCTGTAGCCAGAATAAAGTCTTGTTACATACCAAAGCTGTCGTTCAGTTGAATCAAGGCTTCAGCTCCGGCTTTGATTGTGTTTGGAGGGCATCCCTTGGCCCAAGAACCTAGAATGGCTTTCGATCGGTCAAGTGCAAAATCGACTTTGGTTTTGTTGTAAATGTAAATAAACGACTCATAGCCGCTGGCTGGCGTGAAGATGGGCTCTTGCTGATCGGCCATTGTTGAGAATAAGTGATGCCAGGACTGTATTGACAAGGAGCTTATTAGATATATCTCGTAAGAGGACTTCCCTTTGATTTTATATTCATTCTCTAGACGAGGTACGATCAGGGAGTAGAAGCTACAGATATGTCTTGTGATCGCGTCGCAGTCCTCAAACGCCGCCGAATTACCGTTTTCACCTTCCATGCTGACGATGGACCACGGTCTAGGACCTCGAAGTTGAGCTGAACGTCAGCTTGTTCCCTATTTGGGATTCGATGGTTCCCACAATGATAATCAGATCTCGGCCGTGGACCAGTGCAGTGACACCATTCGACCGAGAAGCAGCTAAAGTGTGTAAACGCCGGCAAGATTGTGCTAGTGACAGATACCGATTGTGGGCGTGGCGATTACCTGCGCTCCTATTCGAGCGGCCGAGGCTCAACTTGTCCATCTTTAGCAGAGCTGAGCAAACCCAATTTGGATATTTCTGCGGCAAGTCCACGAATCAATCCTAGGGCAAGAGGTTTCCGGACGATCATCAAGCCAATTGGGGACCCCGTTAAGTGGGTTATCGAAGGTCTGGACTCCAACAAGCAGCACCGCGCCAGTGGTTCTGGGACTGGGGCCCAACAGGGGTCGTCTGCGGCCTTCGATAGTGCCGACAGCCTCACATCCCTATTCCATATTAGGATCCGATGCTCTGCTTTGAGTTACGCTCCGGCATGTCCTTCCAGTCCTATGGATAGAACGGTGTCTTCGCACTGCTAGTATCAGCTGTAGGCTTGTAAGACGATCATGTGTGATCAACATTTCCAGCGGTAAGTAGGGCACTACTTACTTTTGCAGAGTGGCGGGCTGAAGCACGAACAAATTCTTCGAAAAATGACAAGCCGAATTACGACCAGTTGTTACAATGACATTATGTGTTTCATAGGTACTTGAATGGATACGATCTTACAGAAATCCTCGCGACGGCGTTGCTCAAATTGAGTTTACATGCCTTGGTGGCGACACGACCTCAAACATAGGGCTCTAGCTCTTTCTCCGTCCATTTCCACAGACTCTCTGCGAGCTCTTCGTTCAGTGCGTTCTTAGAGTCTTTGCCTTTCACACCCACAGGCCAGTAGAACACACCGGTCTCGGCATCGGGACTGACCGAGGCCCACAGCTGGTTCAGCGCTCCCTTCGACACGGGCGTCGACACAAGCCAGGTGACGATGCCTGCGATTGGCTTCACGAGAGGGTAGCTGGCGATTGGGCCGCTGACGAGATTCGTATTGACAGCACCTGGGTGGATTGAGATGCAGCGGATCTCAGGGTATCGCTTAGCAAGGGCCTTGGAGTGATGAATGTTTGCCACCTTGGACGCGCCGTAACGCGCCCAGGTGCCCGTGGAGGCCATGTCGGTCTTGAAGTCGTCAAAGTTGTAGAGATTGCTCGGAACCCAGTTCTCGGCCGCCGAGGAGAGGGAGATGATGCGCACGTCCTTATCGGGGCCGACCTTGGCGGTGTGCTGCAGTGTCGGCAGGAGGAGCTTGGTGAGAAGAGCATGTCCCATGTGGTTCGTACCGAACTGGATCTCGTAGCCCTCCTTTGTTACACCGGGCGGCCAGGCCATGATGCCGGCATTGTTCATGAGGATGTGAAGGAGCTGCGACTTCGACTGGAATTCCTTAGCAGCACGCTTGACGCTCTCAAATGACGTCAGGTCGATCTCCAGGAACGAGATGGGGGCCGCGTCTGGCACTGTCTTCTTGATGTCCTCAATTGCGGCCAAAGCTTTGGACTCATTTCTAGCTCCGAGATAGATGTGGGCCGGGTTATGCTTGCTGAGCTGGGTGATTGTTTCCTTGCCGAGGCCGATATTGCCTCCAGTAACGAGGATGATCTTGCCTGTGAGGTCAGGAATATCCTTAGCGGCGAAGCGTACCATTGTGATGATGTTTCGATAGGTGAATTTCAGTGATGGGGGTCTAGCAGTGCGAAGAGGGAGAGAACCACCAAATGTTAAGCTAATGAGGATGCTTAGATACCTTAGTGAAATAGTTCACCCGACGCCGCCTTTCAGGAGGGAGCAAGGGCGAAGACGTAATTTAAGCCTAGACTCAAGCGGGGTTGGCTGAAACCTAGCTTCTGAAAGCCGGCGGAGCCCGAATACCGTAGGCGGACTTGCGGAGAATGTGGGCCCCGATCCGGTACCTTGGCACTTTGCGGCACAGTCGCCGGCCGGAGTAAGCCGGGCTTACACCGATCGGGCTCCGGTTTTGCTTACCCGGATAGGTGGGTATATAATCACATGATGATTACGAACATACTTAACTAGATTTCACTCTTTACTTCAACATGTTGCTAGTAACAGCAACCTTCCGGTCACCAAATGGTCCTCTTGTAACCCATAGTTCCGCCGCAGAGATACACATGCTTTACTCCGAAGAGCGTCTATGGCTGATGCATCAGGTCACACTTGAAGACTTCAAAGGCTCTTATTATCCAAAATACCTTTGATTTGATATTTCTGCATTTGGTTAGACTACAGATCCCAATTATCTACTTTCTACTTGCGAAGTCTCTATCGATAGGCTGTATTATCACCCGGCGGTAGCTCGTCAAAGCAGGCGAGCCGCTGTCCGTGACTTCCAGTATCAAGTGCAGCGGCAGGCCTCGCTCCAGGGGGATCTTTTCTCTGACCACAATGCAAGACTTCTCTGCTGGCGCAATCTTAACCTCCACCTTACTTCCCCCGTCGTTGAGAGCCTTGATCTCAATGTCAGACACCTCCAGTCCGTGATACGTCTGCAATGAGCTTGGCTCGCGGTACTGATACCACTTAAAGCTAAGTTGGTCACCGTCAGGGTCGTAACTCTCCGACGCATCGAAAGTCACCACGCCTCCGGCATCAGCTTCGATATGAATGGGCGTCAAGTTGGAATCGCCATTGACAACCGCAACGGGATGATGGTTGACCTTGCTGAAATCGGACGTCAAAGTCCACTGCATGCGTGCGGCAAAGTCGTCCTGGAAAGCATTCCTCCATCTCCAGATGGTCGCTTGGTTGGACCTGTGCGGCTTGCCATCTACACCTGTCACAGTGTCGATTGCGTCTGCGAAATGACCCCTGGACGAAAGCCCCTTTGAACTTACGTTCACTGGGATATAGCGGCCACCCCAAGATCCATACAGAGGCTCTTCTGGAACGCCTAAACCATTTTGAATAAGATAAAGGAACGTGGGCGTGTCCCCCTCAATAATAAACTCGAAATCTGGGTACGCGGCGCCCAGAGGACCGATCTGAACGTTTTGTTTGACCCATTCGTGAGTCACCTTCGAGTCGTCGGGACCACCCACATCACCAGAGCAAGGAGCCGAAATACCAGTCCAAGCGGCAGCTTGGTATTGGTTCCAGCCGTGAATGGAGCAAATGTAGAAGATTTCGGGATACTGTTGGCGGATCCAGCCTCCGCAATCGTCTTGATCAGAAATCGTGTAGACACGCAGCTTCTGTCGCAGTTTAGCTGCATCCGGCCGGTCTCGGATCTTGTTGAGGACTTGGGCAAGCACATTGACGCCGCCCCAGACGAGAACCCAGAGAGGGTCTTCTACGGGGGCCGTCAATCGCTCGAGAAGAAGTTCACCTCCTTCACTGAGCGGTATATCGTCACCGACTGCTTCCATACCATAGACCTGAGGAATCGCTCTGTCAGAAAACCATATGCCGATTTCGGAGGCGAATATTACTTACTGGAGGACCAGACTTGATCAGGTCTCTCACGCTCTGCGCCGACGGGTACGGGGAGTCTGTGGGGGCATGGGCGTTGAGGTTATCAACTACTTTCTCGTATGCATTGACAATCGCATGGAGATTTTGCGGCGCGACCTTGTTCTTGAGCCATGTTGAAGTGACGGCAACTACCCCTTCTGTGCGAAATTGATTGGAGTATGTGAGATATCTGCAGAAGGACTCTGCATCATCAGGTTCGTTGGTAATATCGGTCAGAATGAAGACACGCGGTTTTGACGGAAATGCATTGAGGGCTGCTGCGCCTCGAGTCGTTGATGATGCCATGAAGGATGGATAAAGGCGCTCGGCTGTAGTCGGACTTGGGCCAGAGGTAATACTTGATGTCGAACTCGGAACTCGGCCTCCGACCTGGTCAGACGATCGCAGCCTGATGTTTGGATGTTGTCGTCTCTTAAGGTCGTTCTCAACAGGTTGCGAACGGATAAGATTACCGAAGCTAGCTAAGGTATTATTAACCCAAACTCTAACGCCCAATGTCAGCTGGAAAACGCGCTCTATTCAACCGCTCAACTTCCTCTAAATAGGTAGCTAGAGGCTTGTGTGAGATATTTGCCGAGGGGTAGAGCCAAGGATTCGTGTGAAGAATTACGGGGAAGCTAACTGACACCTGATTCAAACCAGTTTGGACCATCCGGAATAGGCAATGTGAACCACCGGCGAACCCCTCATGGGTGACGGCCTAGCACCAAAGAGGAACTCAGAGCCTTAAAACCCCAAGTCAAGCAATGTGGTTTTCTTGGATGAACCTTGCCCAGTACCACCTCCGCATAAAACGATCCCCACGGGGATATTGTCATGGTAAATGTCGGTCGAACGGTTTTCAGGAACCGCGCCGTTGGGCCCCTTCTCCACAAGCGCCCCCAAACCCCAGGAAAACTGTGTTCGTCATGATCCTGGGGTAAAGTCTCTTCGTGCGGTTGCTTGATGATTTCGAATCATGTATTAAAAGTCCCCAATTGCCCTCATCTCTGTTTACAGTAACCCACACCGGCACCGGCCTCTGAACAAGGTTGAATCAACACTCTCTTTTCGCTCTTTGACTCACCATCTATGAGACAATAATCCTGCGTCATGGCGAATTACGACGACGGCTATGCAGCCGAAAAGGTTGACTCCCAACATGATGCCAAACACCTCGAAGTCAGTGCCGACTCTCAGCTAGCACTTGCTGCCGACTTTGAAGACCATGAGATGGGCATCTGGAAGTCGTTTGTCCGTTACCCATGGGCATGTGCTTGGTGTGTTTACGCCTGCTGGACTATCATCCTACTCAGCTTCGACGTTCAGGCTGCAGGTGCGGTCGTGGGGATTCCCGAATTCCGCAAGGACTTTGGTTACGAATTTAACGGAGACTATGTCCTTCCAGCTATCTGGCAGTCTGCCTTTAGCGGTGCACCTATTGCCACGTACGTATGAAACTTTATGATCATGATGTTATGCAAGTTATACTAACTTCATCCTCCAGGGCCGTGATTTCTTCGATCGCCTCCGCCGAGCTCGCTGATTACATTGGCCGAAAGAAAGTCCTGGCCCTGGCTCTCATCATCTCCTTTGTTGCTGTTGCTATTGAGTTCATCGCAACGACAAATCCAGTCTTCTTTGCCGGAAAGCTCCTGAATGGTTTCATGGTTGGTGCTGTTGGCACTATCATGGTAAGCTACATTGGAGAAATTACACCGCTAGCTCTCCGCGGTATATTTACTTGCGGAGTCGGTGTTGCCTACGGAATTGGGCCCCTCGTTGCTTTCATTGTTATCAACTACACTGGCACCGTCGAGTCTCGCTGGGCCTACCGTACCGTTTTCTGCTGCCAATTCGGTTTTGCTGGAGTTTCAGCAGTTCTTTGGCCATTCATGCCTGAGTACGTTACCCATCCTTTGCGCAAACCATACATCTCCAGAATTAACTAACCTGCCTTAGGTCTCCGTGGTGGCTAGTATCCAAGGGGAAGAAGGGCGAAGCCCTTAAGAGTCTTGGAAGACTTGGACACTCTGGTAATGAGGGCAGGGCGAAACTCGCTCTTATTGAGCGTACATTGGATGAAGTGAAAGCCGAAACAGACGGTGTCACTTACCTGGAGTGCTTCAAGAAGTCAAACTTGAGGAGAACCATCATCAGCATCATGCCTCTGTGCATTCAGAGTTTCAGCGGAATCGCTTTTGTTGCCAGCTATTTCACTTGTCAGTATCCCGCCTTCTTATCAAGTGACTCTATATTCGAGGCATCACTTCTCATCAAAGCAACGGTACTAACAATTCGCTCTTTAGACTATCTTCAGCTTGCCGGTTACTCTACTTCAATGAGCTACCAGCTTCAGATCGCTCAACCCGTTCTGTCGATTGTTGGCAACTTGATGGCCGCCGCTGTGATTGACAAAGTCGGCCGAAGAAACCTTACGTTCTACGGTTTGGCCATTCTCACGGTCTTCCTCTTGATTACAGGCGGATTGGGAACGGGCACCAGCCAGCCTATGATCAAAGGAACCGTCGCGTTCATTCTCATCTACAGCTGGTGGTACAACGTCTCCATCGGATCAACCGCCTTTTCTCTGCTTGCCGAAGTGTCGACTTCTCGTCTGAGAGCCAAGACCGTCGCCATCGGATATGCATCGCAAAACTCCATCAACGTTATGTGGCAGTTCGTCATCCCGTACATGTTCAATCCGGACAAGGCCAACCTCGGCGCCAAGATTGCATTCATCTTCGGTGGCTTGTGTCTCTTTTCCCTCGCATATCTGTGGCTCTTCCAGCCTGAGACTGGCGGTCGCTCCTACGAAGAGCTTGACGAAATGTTTGCAAAGGGCGTTCCAGCGAGGAAGTTCAAGTCATATAAGACGACTGTACAGTTGCGAAATGAGACATCTGCACAAGATGGAAGTCATTGACCTGGCTCACGAAACGTGATATCTCACAGTCAGCCACAGCTGTATACCATCTCGATACCTGGAATACCCTTGCAGGGTTATTAGTAAAATAACTAGCGATTGATTCAAGTAATTCGTTTCAATTTCTTACGATAAATACTGGCAAGCTGATGGATCGTGGGACAATTTGTTCTTGCGAATTCAACCGTCGAAGTCTTTATACAAGCTCAAGTTCCGTTCCTCGGGGCTAATGTAACAATGTATCCTTCTGCGCATTTCTGAGACTTTCCTGAAGCCAATAAGGCCAAGCGCGTATTGCCGTCGCTCTGGAGTACTCTCCTGGCAAGTAAACATGGCCGCTACGGCCAGACACAATCTGCTTGAAGATGGCATCTACAACTGGTTCCGGCTCAAGGATCTTTGATTTGAAGGGGCCCGAGTTGTGCACCTTTTCGATCAAAGCTGTCCTTATGTATGTCGGATGAATGATACTATTGATGTGCTCAAATTAGTCTTTTGCAGTTTGCTAGCTTGTCATCCTTTTGATTGCTCACCTTGTGCGCACTCTCGGTGCTTTATACCGATGTCTGATCTCCTGAGCCAATCCTTCATGAAGTCCCAGAGCGCCCATCTTGGAACATGAGTAGTCCACGTTGTGTACGCCCGTCACAAAGCTCGCCATACTTGCGACTATGACGACATGGCCGTGGTTGTTGTGGATCATCGAAGGTAAGAATTCTTTGATCAGGAGGAAGCTGGCAATGATGTTGACGTCAAAAACGTGACGAATTTGTTCCTCGGTCTCGTCTAGAATCGAGGCTATCTTCATAACGCCTGCATTGTTCACCAATACCGTAGGGTCACCGTGATCTTGGCGGATTTGGCTTGCGACCTCCTTGATCGACTTGCTTGATGTGATGTCCACTTCGTAGAAGTACGCGTTCGACGCTGACTGCAGCTTTAGCGGATTTACTCACGAGAGATAGTTCAAGAACGCAGACCAGACTTACGCAGCGGAGTTCTCGGCGGAACAATATCGAGACTTATGACTTTGATGCAATTCTTGGCCAGCTTGCGCACCAGCTTGTCTCCAAGGCCTCCAGATCCACCGGTAACTACTACCAGCTCCCTTCGCCAGTCATAGTTATCTTGAGTGAAGTTGTTAAGAGTCGCTTGACTCAGGAGATCATTGGTCTTTCGAAGGGTTGCTATACCGAGTAGCAAGGTTAGAACGAATCTCGGCCACCCACGCCGAAAGACTAACTTCAGGATGCCTGGCGTTTTGAAGTTTTGGAACAGCTCGATAAGCTTTCCAGATAACGTGGACTGGGCAGTCGAGAGAGACATTGTCACTGAAGCTGTCCAAAAGCGTCAAAGGAGAGGTTTTAGGCCAGTCGCCTGATGCTATTCGCCGAACATCCTCTGCCCTATATTCTTCGGATCGACGGATGGACAGCAAAGCCGGCGGGCAATAACCGCTCTCCGTCTGATACTTCCCCGCAATTGCAACGTCCACTTAGGTTCAGGATAGCTCCCTCACCATGTAACACCTCCGCATAACAAGCCGAGGCTCAATTGAGTCCGTGCAAATGGTCATGCGACACTTATGCATGCCTAGAAACCGAGATGCCATTCGACCATGTGGTTCGCTGAGCAAGAACCCACGACAAATTTGGATGAGTCTCGCGTTGATCAAAATCGAACGCGAGCTCGCGTAGAACTATTTTTGAGGACCTGAGACTCCTCCACTTTCACGAAGCCTCAGACGATATCAGCATGGGCTACACTATCGAAGATCGGTTCATCACGTCTGGCCGGAATGGCCAAAAGATTGCCATTTCCATATACAAGCCCGATGGAATGAAACATCCTGCACCCGTCATTGTGATGGGCCACGGCATCGGCGCCATCAAGGCCGCCGGCCTCGCCCCTTTCGCAAGCCACTTCACTGCCGAGGGCTACACTGCCGTCACATTTGACTACTTAGGCTTTGGCGAGAGCGAAGGCTTCCCGCGGAACGTTCTCGATGTTGGCAATGAGCTGCAAGACTTCCGCGATGTCATCAAGTGGGTTCGGGAGCCGGATCAGAGCACGTGGGTCGACTCATCACGAATCGTTGCGTGGGGTAGTAGCTTTGGCGGCATGCACACCACCGCTCTCATGGCCGAAGATCACGAGCTGGCAGCCGGTATAGCGCAGTGTCCGCTCGTTGACGGGTTGGCTGGTGTGATGCAGATGCCGCTGCTCCGGTCTTTGAGACTGGCGACGACGGCTGCCGCTGATATCCTCGGAACGTGTGTTCTAGGGACCAAGGAGCCGAAGTACGTCGACCTCATTAGCGATGGTTCCACCACGGCTGTTATGGCTTCACAAGAGGCTTATGATGGTTGGAATCGCTTGTCGCCTGGTGATGGACGAGACTGGCCTAATGTGATCGCTGGGCGGTCTCTTCTCAACATCATGATAAATCGGCCGCTGTTACACATACACAAGAGTACTCGCCCATACTTGGTTGTTCTCCCCACATGGGACAATGAAGCATCCTTAGGTGCCGCGGAGGACTGCGTCAAACGTGCTCCTTTTGGAGAAGCGTTGAGGGTCGATGGTGGCCACTTTGATTTGTACAAGGGGGGAATCGCGTTCGACAAAAATATCGCTGGACAAAAAGAGTTTCTTAGACGTGTACTGAAGGCTGACTGAGCAATTTCCTACATTAATGTCTCTCCTACGTTGAGCGCAATTGAGGGAGTCGAACTTTTGATACTTCTGGCGTCAAAGGCAGCAGATAGTTGAAATTAACGATCATGATTATTCAAGGAATGAAAGTTGAAGGAAAATACTGATCAGATCTTCGAATTCTACGCTATGCTGGTTCTATATAAACAAAGGAATCATTCGATCACCCAGGAAGACACACCGGCGTTCAAACGCTGTCCTCAAGACAAGATAATGCCATCGATAATGACAGGAGCAGCGTTTGACCCGGCATCCCAGGTAAAACCTATGGAAAGAGTACCGCTGGCTGCGGTGGGAGTGAAGGTGAACCTGTATTGTCTGTAACCACCCGCGTTGCTGTAGGCCGTCAAGCACGGGTAGCTAGAACTGCCGCAAACAATTGACGGACCCATAACGGTATCGCCCCAAGCAACGTAGACCTTCGCATTGTCCTGTTTTGTCGCAGAATCAAGACGGCCTGCATAGAACGTTACGGTCCTAGCGGCTCGAACGGGCAGGCCGGTGATGGATTGATAGATGTAAGCCTGGCGGTTTGAGGTTCCGGACGGGTAGAAAGCGCTTTGTGATTATATTAGCTAGGTACTCGCTTGATTATGGCATCTACTGCTGGCACAGAGAGTTTCGTGACTTACAGAGCTGAGCAACCTGAAGTCTGATGGTTGTCTGAAATGACCGCTGATGTAACAGGATCGCTGGGTTGGTAAAGTGCAAAGTTCCAGCTGTCAAAGCCGCTATCGAAGCCGCCGTTCTGGACATAACCGCTGTCTATAAAATTGTCAGATTACTCTCGGCCGACGGAACTGACGATCGAAAACACTCACTGATGGTTGCGCGGCATGCATTAGCCGAAGTAGTTGAAGTGGATGAGGACGATGATGTCTTGGAAGATGACGAAATGGCGGCAGTAGTACTCGAAGAGCTCGTGGTGGTAATCGTGGAAGTCTTCGTGGAAGAGCTGCTCGTAGTGCTCGTAGTGCTAGATGGGGTGGAGGAAGAAGTTGGAGATGATGTGGAGCTTGTCGATGACTTTGAGGTTGTTGAAGAGCTCGAGGAAGAAGTCGAGGTGAACGAAGATGCTGAAGAGGTAGAGGACGAGGTAGATGATGCAGTGGAGCTTGTCGTAGACTTTGAGCTGGTGGAGGAGCTCGTGGTGGTTGAGAAAGATGATGAGGTAGAACTTGTCGAGGTTGTCGAGGTTGTCGAAGAGGTTGAAGAGGACGTGGAGCTAACTGGCAAGGTTAGAGAACCCGAAGCGTAGATGTTGAGACGATTGCTTCCGCCACAGAACTCTGCCGTGTTCCCCTTGCAAGGCATATCGCAACCCTCCGATGCCGCCACCCCCCCGTTTCTGATCTGGCTATCACACCAGCATTCCTGCGAGTACTCGACACCGGCAATAGGATAACCAAAAGCAGAGCAAGCCGAAACACAATCACCAACAGACATGTTCTGGGCGCCACCAACGACACCAACATTGACCGTGAGAGCTCGGCCAAGTACATTGTCCTTCAGACATCCCTTGTCGGCCCAGCCAGATGGTAAGACACTGGGGCCCTTTGGCTTAGCGGATGCCTGGTAGACGTTGATACGATTGGGACCGCCGCAGTACTCGGAGCTGTTTCCAGAACAGAGCATGTTGCAGCCATCGAAACCCGAGGAACCTGTGTTGCGGAGCTGGTTGTCGCAATAGCACTCGGACGAGTACTCCACACCGGCGAGCGAGTAGCCAGCAGCCTGACATGCGTTGGTGCACTGCAACACGGACATCTTGGAGTCTCCGGCTACGACACCGGTTCGGTAGGAAAGAAGCCTTGGGCCGGGATCGTTCTGGCAGCCGAGGGAAGACCAACCGGGAGGCCCAGGGTTGATCACGGGGGCAGCGACGCCGTTTGTGAAAACCGAAAGTCTGTCGCTGCCGCCGCAGGCTTCCAAGCTGTCGCCACTACATGGCATGTTGCAGTCAGCTTCGGGCTTCTTCTGCGAAGTTGAAGCCAATTGGTAGTCACAGTAACACTGAAAAGGATGGGTGAGTATGTATGCGATGGAGGAGGACAAGGTGGCGTTGCTTACCTCGCTAGAATATTCGACTCCCGCAACGGGGTAGCCCTTGCTGCTGCAAAATGCTATACATGACTCTTCGGTCATGGCGCTGTAATCTCTGTATCCGTCCCGTGATAGCTGCCGGATGCCATGGTTGTTATCGGTATAACAGCCTGAGTAAGACCAACCGGTCTGTAGAGTTGAGGAAGCTCTAACGTCCCGCCTTGCGATAGAAGCTGCATTGGCGCAGGCAGTCAGCACCAGGAACAAGCTTGGGATAGAGGTATGAGGCTGCATGATTGTGAGTAGAAGAAGAGACAGGAGGATGATGAGGTGGTTGATTTGATATGGTTGACGAGATCAATCGACTGATTTATATCGACGACGATGTCATTCTCATCAAGTTTGCCCGGGAGTCTGGAGTTGCAGAGTTCCTTTGTGTAACATACGAGATGGTCCGCTGCCAAGAAAGCCGTCAATTCAGCTCTCATAGCCATCATGCAAATCTAGCGCCGGGAGGAATAATAGCCTTGTGGTCAGAAGCGAAGTTGGGTTGAAAGACTTCCGGGTGAACGTTGCCATTTGGATCTTAGAGGCTGGAGTCACCGTCTGGCTTCGTTCCTGGTATAACAGAAAAGCTAGCTTTTTCCGGCGTTACACAAAGACGTACTTTTGCTTCCCGCCGCCACAACTCCTCATCGAACAGGAACGATGGCAAAACCCTGAATGCCATGTTGTGAACCCACGTGTCTGCGACTATTTGCCAAGACCTAGAAAAGTGCTAAGAATGTAGCCGACAGCTTTCTCTTTGGCCTCAATGGAAGCTTGATAACTTGACGGATACCATGAGGCAGTGAGAGCTATGCTTAGCGTCCGGCGATAGTTGGAACTAGTATCAAAGCGGCCAAAAAACACCCAGTAGCCTCCCACTGAGAAGATCTCGCGTCTTGTTCTAGGTAGCCGGAGGATTTGTTTCGAAACGCACGCTAGCTGGTGATCTTTGTCAGGTTACACAAAGATAACCTTCCATAAACGATGCCGCTCAACGATGTCTCAATGCCCCCTGGTGACCTCCCGCACCGGTTCCTATCCGGGCGTGTGGATGGCTTCGCCGAATAAAGATGCCCGCTGAATACCTAGGTAGTTGGGATGAACTATAATTCCTTCATGGAATGTCAAATCACGCCGAAGCTTTTTAGACTTTACCAAAGTAGTCAAGTTGTCAAATATTAACTTGGCGAAGCTTGAGCTAAAACGACAATCTAGACTCCCCTCAGTCTGTGGGCGCGGTCATATCATGCTGAAGCTGATGCTTTCACAAGCCAGAGCAGGCAGACAACTTTAACGTGAGAAATATTTAAGAAAGGCAAGGAGAACGCAGGTCATAACATCTTATGGTCACACGAAATTCACACCCTCGCCTAATAAGTTAAGCTTGTTGGAACCAACGCGAAATTGACTTTGCTTTTGATTGAAGATGGTCCGTGTCCGCTCCCTTCTACACTGACAACAATGAAACTTCAAGAGCGCTCAACACCTTTGATGTCTTGTAGTGAAATATATGGTACAGTGGCCCCTTCTATTTGAGGCAGTATGTAGGCCATTGCGCCATGGCCGTGTCTCTAGAACAGAATCAATATCAACATGGGTACCGCTCAAGAAGGAAATGTTCACCACCCACCTATGTGTAATCGTCTATGTGCAGATCATTCCGACGCCGCCGACGGGTGCCCGCGTGGTCTGGCAAGTTGTGCCACTGCAGCATGCACGGTCGCCAACATCGCCGCAGTTGGCTATAGATTACTAATTAGCTTCGGCTCCCGGGTGCTCAGAAACGCGTTAATGTGAGTGGTGACTTGCCGCCCTTGGAAGCGCAGTTATCCTGCCTTGCAATAAGGCCGATGTCGACGGATGCGGCAGAAACCGCGGCGACGATGGTAAGGAGAGTGGCGAGAGTGAACTTCATTTTGAATATGTAATGACTCCAGCTTGTGATTTGAGGTGTCGAGAAAGATATGTAAAGAGAGAACCAGTGATTTTGATGTTGTTACTTTGCATGAGGGCATTGCAATGGAATTATATACACTTTATTTTCGTCCGCTTCCACATTATCGTAGACTGGGCACTGATAGGGGTATCTGTTCTGATGTTTGAGAGTCATTGTCCTGTTTTCTTGGCCCATGGCTCTTCGTTTGGGGATTTACGGTATCTCCACCACATGCCGGTGGGCTCAATGACTTCTCAATTGCTTCAGGTGCGATACACTACTCAGAAGCCGGATCTCGGCCAGCCAGCCAGGTGTCAGGCAAATACACGATGCTCGCGACAAACTTAATTATGTGGAGCGTGTGGGCTGTAAAGCCGCTGTTGGCAGGTTGAAACCCTGCGAGTTTTGTAAAGTTGCCGCGTTCCCATTGTCTCATGTTTAGTTGCCGTATATTGTAGTTGCGTCCATCCTAGTTCACTATTTCCTCTTCACTGATAAACATGGGATATCGGATGTAGAGTGCCACTGCCACTGATCGGCAAACGTCCCTGCTCCCATATTATTCGTAGGTTTCGGTCACTGCACTTCGTGCGACTACGCGTATGCCAGTCACAGACCTGACTCGAAGTTAGGGAGCCGAAGAATTATGAGACGATCTAGGGATGAACTGTGGGTATCTGTTGCGGCAGTCAGTCGCTAATAGTATCCCATTGCAGTCCTGATTACCTTTCGACTAATTCACTCTGAATTTCAGGGAGAATAGTTGTGAAAGATAGGTTGAGCGGACTTTTACCCGCGTATAACCAAGGTAAGTGACGATCTTTCGTCTCATCTTTGTCTCAACCCCATATCTGGGGAAGATTCTCCCGGTGCTTCGAGAACACGTCACGAGCTATATGATGCGTTTCGGTAATCTTCGCGGTACCGGCAGATGAGATCCCATGGATCGCGTGGATGTTTCGGGCAGATCTTTGAACCTGTGATCGACTTTGACTTGCTGGTTTAGACGGTCATCAATGATCGGCTTTGTTTCAACCTAGTGAACTGGAATTGATACTCGAATGCTAAGGCGTTAATCCTGGTCAACTGACCATCTGAAGCTCGGTGTTCCCGTCTTCTGGGACGAGTGGTGAGCTAGACAGCCGGTCACACAAGCAACGTCGGCGCAAAGATACATGTAGTCGCATCAAATAGTAATAATAGGTTGGTCGCTCTTATAGTTCTTTGAACAGTGAATACTTCCCTAAGCCTTTGTTGAGGCTTCTACATCTGCGTATTTCTGGATGACCATTCGACAATGCTTTCAAAAAAACAAAAATCTGGTTAGGTCATGCATCTTGAAAGACTCCCAACTATCCATTGCTACGATGACGCATCTAGTCCTCATCGGAATGAATCAAGTCTACATTAGGATAGAAACTTGCTTGATTTTACGAAAGCCTAGTTACCTTTGTCATGTGGCAGACTTGATTTCTGCCTGCCCCAAACAGGAGATGGCAGCTGTCTTGCAAGCGGCTGAAGTTCAGTTCAACGGGAATTGGCAGCCCAAGTAGCAGACTCTAGGACGTTGATCGGAGCATGTGACATTAACAGTCGTGGGGCTGTCACTGTAAGGTACCTGGATAGAGATATATGAGGTTAGAAATCCAAAAGAAATGATAGGAAAGGAAGGAGGGGAACACTCGCAACAGTCCTGCCTATGTTCCAATAGCGCGCCCCTCAGTCAACCCGAACTCTGACTTCATTGGAGTATTTGTTATACTAGGTAGCCACTCGACCACCTCGCACACAGCTTGACCTGACCTCGCCGACCTAGACGGGCGCTGCTGTGCTGGTGGCAGGATTGGGATCAAGAGGGGGCATATACCCTCGGGTGTCTGAATAAGGTACCTATCTCAGGTGAAGGGAGGTCAGATACTTGGGCTCGCTTCTCTGGAGGGGGAAGGAGGGACGTCGAGGTGGGAAGGAGCGATGAAGCCAAGGTGCTTGCCTCAAGGAAGGTACCTGCCTACCTTACTGCCGATGATTCATACTAAAGTATTATATTTGTCTAAGATATCTTGGCTATGTTCAATTACGGCCTATCCACCTCAGAACCACTCCTCAACATCTCTCCTCATCAAAACCTCACCCCCAGCAAGCGTCCCCCCAGCCAACGGCAGCTTCAAGATCCCAGCTTCCACCAGATCTTGCGCCAACCGCACAATCAAACCATCACATCCCCTCGCCGCCATGATATCCACAGTAACAGGCAACATCTCCGTGACATTCGTCACCGAACTCATGCTACCGACCTCTCCCAGAGGGAAAACGTGGTCTGGCGCGCCGCTGAAGACGCTCAGCCGGCCGTTGGAGAAGCCCAGCGGCGGGGTGGGCGTCGTGGTCGTCGGATAGCGATTTCGTAGGGAGGCGCGGCCGGAGGAACCTACATAGAAGAGGAGGGATGAGGAGCATGTCGATGTTGTTGTGGAGGTGTTGAAGGCGGGGGTAGAGGGAGGCAGGATCTCGGTGTTGAACCAGTCCATGAAGAGCGTCTTGTTGGCTCTTGCGTCGTCGAGGGCGCTGGCGGGTTGCCTGTCGCCCCAGCCCCAGCGCGCGAGGGGGACGGGGTTGACGAAGGGGAGGCGGCCGTTGTGGGCGGCTATCAAATTCGATGTTAGTCCGTGTGTAAGTGTATCCCAGCTGACAAGTGGCAGAGCAACAGGGCCTTTTCCTTTTTCGAAGACGAGAAAGGCAAAGATACGAAGAAAGAAAAGAACACGGAAAGGAGCTTACCGGCATAATCAGCATAAAACGGATCACGCACAAGCGGCGTCTGCTCCTTGGTGATGAGCGTAGCATACGTCAACCCCAGGACATCATCCAGCGTCTGGTTCCGCACACCCTCGGGACCAGTCTCAGCCCAAGCAGACGTCAGGTTCAGCGCCGTCGTCTTGGCGCCCAAGAACGCACCCAGGTCCTCAGCAAACTTGTTCAGCATCTGCGCGGCGGCTCCATCGTCGGTAGGGAAGTCAACCGTATACACCGTCTTGGGGTACGCCACCGGTACCTCAGTGTCAACCAGCGATGTGTAATTCGCCCCGTACAGCACCTTGTTCGCCTCATCCCAAATGTACGGATCCCGCGTCAGAAAGCCGGCGGTGTCGAGCGTAGGCGAGAGCGGCATCACGCCATCCAACCCGACGAGCCCATGCGAAGGCCGGTTCCCGAAGAGACCCTGCACCGCAGACGGTCCGCGGATCGAGCCGCCCGTGTCGCTGCCGACAGCAATATCCAGCCACTCATACGAACCTATCGAGGCTCCGGCACCCGAAGACGAGGAAGATGGGTCGTTGTAGCCGTCGCCGCGCGGGTTGAAGGGGGAGTGGTAATCCACCCAATCCGCCGTCGCCGTCTCGCCGTTTGCAAACTGCGAGGGCTTCTGGTATCCCACGACCACGGCGCCCGCGTCGAGTAAAGCTTGGATTGCTGGTGCGGTGGAGGCCGCGGGCGGGTAGAATGCGTACCAGGCTCTGTTGCCGTTGGATTTCTTTACGCCCGCGAGGTCGTAAATGTCCTTTATGCCTACGCGGACGCCGGCGAGGGGCTTCTCGGGGGACCGGGCGGCGAGAGAGTAGAGGCGGGAGGGGACGCCGATGGTCAGGGAGGCGGAGGCGGGTACCTGGGCGGAGAGGGTCTGGAAGGTGGTGTCGGGTTTCTGGAGGAGGGACTCGGAGAAGGCGCCTGCGTAGTCTGGGTACAGACGGTAGGCTTGGTGGAGGGCGCCCGTGGATGTGTCGAGGAAGTAGGGGCCCGAGGAGATGTCACTGCCGGCGGTGCTGACCAAGGGCGCGACGATGGACTGGGTCTTGTTCGTGCCGTCGTAGCTTTCCTTTGTGAGGCACGGCGTGTCGAGACCGGCGAGGAAGATTGCGCCGAGGAAGGCGGGCTGCCAGACGTCGTCTTGGGAGGTCCAATTTGCGAAGAGGGAGGGCAGGGAGGATTTGGGGAGGGGTTCGGCGACGACTGTGACGGGGGTGAAGCCGAAGGCGCGGGGGAGGGATTTGATGTTGAATGAGGAGGAGTTTGTAGGGTTTCCCTGGGAGAAGGGGGAGACGAAGTAGTAGATGTCGTTGAGGAGTAGGGATGCGCCGGTGGAGGTGAGGTCGGCGGCGGCGGCGCCGACGAGGGCGAAGAGTGTGAATGCCTTCATCGCGGAGGCGTCAGGTCTCAGTCCTTGCGCCGGGTTCCTTGCCTGGCAGCAAGACTGCTGGATGGCACGGATGCGACATCTCTCTTATATGAGGAATGCAGGTATCCGGACTTGGGTTAGAACATCCAATCAAGATGACCAATTCCTGGTATCTGAACGATAGGTAAGGTACGGTAGGTGGAGAGATGGGCTTTCCTTTTCCTTGCCCAGGTTTATCTCTGCGCCTTGCCAATTGGTGCCTTTTCCCATATCATAACTGGCTTAGCTGGGTCCCAAATTACGTAGAAGGACCATGGCAAAGAAAGCAATAATACACCATCATCCTACCAGGCTTATCTGATTCGGCCGTTCAGGCTTCGGGGGGTTGCGGTTGCTTATCATGGGGAGGACTCCACGAAAGGGACCATGCATGCGAGTCCGCATCGCTAGCTCGCAGAGTCTGAGAGCCGGAACCGGTTTAACGGCTGGGGTATCTTGTCCTTGTCATCATCGCTTTAGTCCCCCCGCCGAGATGGGGTTGTAGAGCATATCGGCGTACAAAGTAGAATTAGCAAAGTCTTTTTTGGTTCTGGAGTTGTTATCCGTTATCGCGTAAACGAGGAGATTGGGCTCGTGTGGACGGTCATGAAAGTCCCGGCCGATGTCGGTAGTTGGATTTCGGTTTCCCGGGGCCCGGGTCATTTTTGTACGCAGAAGCGGGAGGCGTCGGCCGTCACTACTCCGATAGAAGGTACTGACAGTGGCACTTGACCACCCACAAGATACACCTATGTACGAATCCTAACCT